CAAAATGAGCACTAAAAATTTAAGCATCACGTAAATTTATGTAGAACATTGAAAGGTTTGTTAACTCGACCACCTTGTTGTATTTTTTTTTTCTTGTTGCATCAAAACAATACCAGAATGTGGTGGGAAAAAGTATACTATTAAACAAAACTTAACCACGTGTTTTTACCAAATTATAACAAGACATAACCGAGATATATGTAAATAAAAAACGACGATTTGAGAAATTAAGAAAAACGAGTATCGCGAGACCATCCGTATTACTTCGATGAAAACATATGGAACGTCTCCAATCAATGTTTTTTCGAAAGCTTTTAACTGTTTTTTTGTTACGAATAACAGATAATCCCCTTCCTTTAATATTCATTGACGAATAACATTGCAAGTTAGAACGGAACAGTCGAGCGACCGATTATCTTTTTCCTGAAGTCAAATTAAATTTAAAATTACTTTACCTGCATCTAAGTGAATCAATTTGCTGAAATTGGTTTCTTCAAGTGAGTTTCCCGTTTCACCTTATTTGCTCTGAACTCTCTCGACGTTAAATAGACTGAAATTTTAGTATGGCGCGAATACAGAAAAAACAACAATAACATACGCTTTCTGCCCGGCCCGATAGAGGATATGAATCATAAAGACAAGGCGATCTGATTGGTTGGCGTGCTAATTGTCTTCACACCTGCTGTTGTCAGACATGAATAATGCATAAGCAGTCCTGGGACGAGCCAAAGGAACATAATCTCACAATCATCGCCAAAATCTTTTATTTTGGTGTCTTTTTGCTATCTATCGGCAAGATAATTCACTGGCTAGTGGCAATCCATTTCTGCATCGCATAAGTGACTCGGTTTTAATACATTTGGGGCTTTAAAAAAACTCAATGTGGTTGAATAATATATAACCTTGACCTCGAGTTACGGCGTTAATTTATCTTTGAACACATTTCAAAGCATTTACTTTCGACTGTGTTATCCTGTTTTTATCAATAAAGTAACCAATTGATTCTGGAAATAAAGTAATGCAGGAACTTGCCGGGGAGACAATAACAAGTGGAAAGCAAGAATGGCGATCCCCAGGTCTACAAAAGGAATTAAGAACGAAAGAATTTCTCCATTCCGTGTATATTTATGCACGGGATACCAGCTGCATTTCATTAAACAAAGGTTCAATGCTATTTCAAACGGTTTTCCATCCAACAATAGTTTTTATTATATAACAAATAACGTTTAACACCAATCAATGTAAAACTCCTACTTGACCCACCATAACTAACTTTCTTAATAACCCTAAGATTTTCTAAAAGTTTATAAAAAACAACGCGATTAATTAGAATAGCGTGGAAATTGCGAAGTCGTTTGAAACCACCTGCAACATGAGAAAAGGTTACACTTCACGCTTGTTATACTGAGGGAGAGTCTAATCTGCTTTTAAGAGGCGAGGGAGAAGGAAATTATTGTGGATTTTTTGTTGGAAAGGGAGGTGAATGGACAGTGAAGGAAAGAAAGTTGAACTTATACATTTTGAGTGTTGGAAGCCGTCGATCTTAAATCATTCATTTCCTTCATCACTAGTTTACTTGATGACCTCTCAAGTGGTTTTAAGGCCTGGGTAATTTGGGTTTACATCTAGAAAATAATTAATTGGCTATAACTTCGGAGAATATTTGTGTAGTTGAAACCAAATCTGGCACACATAAAGAATTCATCGTCTCTAACATTTAAAGTATAAATATTGTATCAATAACTCACGTGATTTGTCACATGACAATTTGTCTAAAAATCTTGAATAACCTTCTGTGGTTGTTGGAGGTCAATGTTAGGGCTTAAATCAGAGTGAGCGAGTTATTTTTCAGCGGAGCTTGTCCGTTTGTTACGCCGTCGTGATGAGCCACGAGGTCTCTTTCAGTGTCGTGTTGATGTCCTGCAAAGTTAATTTTCACGTAGTACGATCAACTTTGCATAATTCAATATTTCTACTTTTCTTGCTGATCAGGTTTTCCTTAGCTTAGATCCTACGTTCTGAGCATATTCGTTTTTGGTCCATTGCAGTTCAAGTCTATTTAACAAAAGAATTCAATCAATAACATTTTTCTTACTCATATTGAATATTCCTCTGACACTTCAAGATTGGAATGACTGTCCGTTCCACTTCATAAAAAAATTAAGGGGGAAATCATTATTTTACATTCCCTTTAATATTTAAAACTTAACAATTAAACTTCGTGTAAATTCTTTCCAAACGTAGAAAGTTAAGTATGTTTACCGTCTATCAGGAACGCCAATATATTTATGCAAATAACGCTAATTCGCCACCAATTCGCCAGTTTTCTACACTTTAAATTTTTGGTCTGGTGGCATGTCACGTGATCATGATTACACGTACAAAGGTACAAGGAGACCTCGAGATTAACTTTTATGGGAAAAATTCATGTCTTTCTAGGTATCCTAGTGAGAGATATTGCCAATTAATAATCATATGTTCTGCAAATACCCTTTACCCTGTCCTTAAACCCCTTGCGCTTAGATTTTCTAAGAATTAGGAAAAAGTTAGCATTAATTACTTTTGGCTAGCATAACGTGAGAATCTGCGCCAGCGTTTGAAAGTACATGCCATTTCGAACCACCTGCGACTCACAATCTTTACGTATGTTACGTAAATTTCCTTTTTCCACAATTTTAACATAACTCTACGTTCTTGTTAATTAAAAGCAGTGTAAAATCGTCCAAGAATCCCCAACACAGTTTTGAGTACCAAATACTCCAAAGGCCTTATTGAGGCAATTTTCAGAACGACTGAAATCTTTACAAAGTGATTCAAAATGCATTTGGCTCCTTCAGAGTATAGGTTGACGGAGCAAGGAATTTTAAATTATAGATATATTGCATTTATTTTGCTTTGTTATATATTTATTGTCTATGTATATTAAAACCTTTATGAAAAAAGCAAAATAATTGATAAGGTAAGGTTATGGCTTAATTTAAAATTTCGTTCATTTGTTTAATAACTGCAGGGTCTGTGAATCATAATCGGTAGGTTGTAGGGTTCTTACAGTCATCGTCAAAAGTGTTGGGAATTATGGCTGCTACTTTTTATCCTTTTTTTCCTGTCTCCCCCTGCACCTGCTCCAATGTTAAGCAAAACATAAATGTCTGTACTTCTAATATTATTGTTCTGTTATATCGTGTATATCCCAACATTGAATCGGGGGAACGGGCCGTGATATTTAGCAAAAGAAAATTTTTGGAAAATTAAAATGGACTACTGTTAAGTTGTACAATCTCCCCAGCTACTTTTGTCCGGGATTATAGCTTGATGACCAATAAGAGACAGGTTTACTGATGAACCAGTTGATCTGACTGGATGACTTACTGAAAAATATTGTCTGGTTTACTTACAGATAGATAGATTGATTGATCGACTGATTAACTATTAAGCTACGTGCAAAGGGACGCAATAACTCTCAAGATTGTTGGCCCGCAAAGTTGGGAGTTGTTGCGTCCATTTGTACGTAGGTTAACGTCTCACCGGTTTCAAACTTTGCGCAACAACATGCAACAGGGTGTGAAAACGGACGCAACATGTAACATCCAACAATATTAGCAGTTGTTGGCCAACACTGTTGCATGCGTTTGCACGGGGCTTTACAGTCGAGCCCGGTTAACAAAGACATCAAGGGGACATTCTTTGGTGTCCGTATTATCCGGGTTTTCGTAATACAGTGTAAGTGAACTCTAGGAAAAAAGTCACGGACAACTAATTTATGGATATAAAGACTTAGCAGACATTTTTTTAACGAGAAAACTTTCTTTCATTTCTCAACTGTAACTGTAACAAGTTCAACCTAAACAAGAACCTCACGGTCAATCAGTTATCAAAGTCTCAGACTAAAATCTGTTATCAGTTAAGAAAGACCGATGGACCGACCAAATCAGTCATGTCATGCTACTTTGCTACTGTTTTTTTGGCAATAAAATCTTAACTAACCCCTAAAAAACTGTCATTATTTGACAGGGTACAATTTTAATTGAAGAGTTAAAACTCATAATTGTGACAAAGAAATAGACAGTGCGCGGAACTCGGATTGACCCGGAAAGCGCACACAAAAATTTCGATTTTCGTATTAACCGGTGTCCGTAGAGCGGGGTTTCACCGTAAGTAAATTCATGCTTCCCTGCTTTCCATACACCTTAGTTTTATCAATTGATTTCTTGACTGATTGATAATAGATTTCCTAGTATTGATATATAAAAAAAGACAGTCAACTCTCGTAAGCGACCACTGTTGGTGCAGGAGAAAGTGGTCGCTTACTGGAGGTGGTCGTCTACGGGAAAAATCAAGAAAAAGAACTCAAATTGAACTGAGTAACGTAATTACGTAAAGTTATTATCTTACAAAGAAAAATGAGGAAAATAGAGAACTTCTAATAATGTTTAACTCTAATAGCTGTAATAGCTCTTGCTTTGAACTGATGAAACTTTGTACATAACATTATGCATGAATGTGACAATCCACTTTTTTTACCTAGGGATCGTATTCCAGACATCTTTTTGATAAGTCAACTGCTATAATCTGTCAGCAAACTTGGTCAGCACTATTCAAAAATTAACTTTTGTGAAATTCAAGCAGCGGTTTTCTTACATTCATACGTGATCACGCCTGGTGGTCGCTTACCGGAAACAGAAAACAAAAGAATATATCAAATTTCTGGCCCAAAAAGTGGGGAAAAAGAGAGTTTTTGAAACAGTGTTTGACTGAGAAACAAAAGGATTATTTGTAAAGTGGTCCCTTACAGGAGGTAGTCGCTATGAGAGAGTTGACTGTATTTGGTTGCTAAGTGCCGAGCCTCCATCTCAGAAGAATCCATACAATTTTCTCAAATGGGACGAATTTACTACCCAAAGACAATTTAGTTACTGATTACAACACGATAAAAAACAATCATTCGTTTACCGTGGACTAGATGGTTGTTTTTGACTTTCGCAAAGAACTGGAATTTAAGTATGAAAACTATGCGCGTTTGTTACAATCAAGCGAAGCGAAATAGGATTCAAATTCTTCTTCTGATGATCTTCGTACTCGCTTTTACTGTTTGTATATATCTGGGCATACAATCAAGAACAACTATCGTCTACATGGAAGATAGAGAGTTCTTTACTAAAGGGTTTTCAAATGATGTATTTCAGGATGTTAAGGAAGTCAAGAGTTATGAGGCAAGTTCGGACGGTAAGGTTCAAGCTTCAAAATCATCGATTACTCGGCGGATTTCGCCGAATGATCTTAGAGACAAAGTCACCTTACCTCACCGAAAAAAGCTTGAAAACGAAATAAAAGATGTTACTCGTTCGCTGCCCGGATCTTTAAACCACCATATATGGGAGCATGTGTGTGGCTATCGCGTTGAGAGTTTACGTGAGTTCATATTATTTCCACTGGCTCCTTCAAAACGTAGGACTTTATCAATGTCATTCGCTCAACGCAGTGATGAACACAACAATTTTGGTGAGCGAATGTTTGGATTTATCTCACCTAACTTGACGGGCAAGTATCAGTTTGCTATTTCGTCGAGTGGAAATTCCGAGCTATGGCTGAGCTCCGACGAGGCATCGGAGAATCTTCGGAAAATTGCTTTTGTCAGTTCGGGCAATAATCTGGGTAGAAGCCAACCGGGAAACTTTTCAAATACTCCGTCTCAAATTTCAAGTGCATGTTTCTTAACGAAAAACAATAGATACTTTATTAGCATACTACATAAACACAATGCGGGTAGAGCTCATTTGCGCGTTGCTTGGCGTTTATTCGGCGGAAAAGTAAAATTTAATGTAATATCAAGCTTATTTCTTTGGGCTGTAGTTAATGACAGTCACGTGACTGATAATACTGTGCAGATAAGCGATTACCAAGAACAGTTGCAACGATCACATGACATGCACCCACCGTTTGTTGATTCTGAGGAGATTAAGGACGTGTTGACCAGCTGCCATTATGAACCAAGTTATTTAGTGAAACACAAGCTGATTCGATTTCAGGTTAGTGATATGACAGGCTCTGGAAGGGTCTGATTACTGGGATCCGGGGTTTGACCAAAATTCAGTGCTTGATTCGGGAAAGCCTTGGCGGGATAAGGGATTTGATCACAACCCGGGAAGCGGGATTTGCGAAAATTCGGGCATCGATGTGTCTGGGGAAGAAAATGATTTTTGTGAAGGAAGACGTTCAGGATGCGGGATTCTCGTGAACCATCTATGATGGTTATATCAACGACAGTAGGGAATGTAAAGGTGATAATGATAATGATAGTTATTTATATATGATGATGAGAGATGACTATGGTCGATTATAATAGCGATTTTGATTTGATTAATGATGGCGATTGTGAGCCTTATGAGAAACTGGTGCAAAAAAAATTGTTTCTTGAGAGGACAAATTTTCCGCTAAGCCTGAGTCACCGTGATGGTTGAACAAAACAACAATTTAGTCGAACTTAATCATAGACTCAATTACACGTCTAAAACCTAAAATTGTGCATGATAGTGGTATGATTCGCAGGATGGCTGTTAAATGCCTGACTGTAATTTCACACAAAAATGTTATTTCACTTGCGATCAAGGTAGAATTTATTCAGCTACAAATTTGATAGTCTTTGGTATTAATTTTGTCTGAACAACATATCATTTACAACCACAGTTATGATTTATTGAATTTTGTGGCGAAATCGAACATGGGTAAATATAGTCAGACATTATTCGATGACCAACTGTTATTTACAGCTCTGTTATATTAGCTTCCCACGCGGACGTTCTTAGGGGTTCGTCACGCGTTCCTGCCCCAGCAGACGTTAATGGGGCAGGAACGCGTGACGAACCCCTAAGAACGTCCGCGTGGGAGGCTATGTTATATTGATCAGTAGAGGCGATGAAAATTCCCTTTAAAAACAGTGACACTTACTTTGTGTTCGTTCTACCAAAGATTGATTTGTTATTTTACGGTTGCAGGGTGCTCGAAATAAAAGCAACACTCATTTTGCTTCTGTGTATCCCGCGGACAGCACCAACAACTCTCTGCCATTACTTGAAAACGAGGACATTTGGTGGTGGGAGAACGCCATCGGCAATGCCAGAACGGACCCAAATTTAGCCAAGGAAGTCGTTCTTATTTACATGGGAGCTTTGGAAGAGAAATTTCCTCGGTATGAAATGTAATGTAAATATCCCTAGGGGGCTAACATGGAAAAGGGAGATGCTCTTCACAGTGCCGGTTCCCCGGGGGCCGGATCCAGACCTTGAGATAAGGGGTCCCGGGTCATCCAGACCCTTAGATAAGTGGCGGGGGGGTGTCCAAAAAAACTTTTTCCGCCCTTCGGGCCTCAGTTTAGTCTAAAAATAGGGGGTCCCGGGCCCTCCGCCCCCCCCCCCGGATCCGCCACTGCTTCAGTTAATCACAATTGAGACCCTATCGAACGGAAACCAGCCCAGGCGTGTCTCGAGCTTTACTTAACCTCTGTGAGGGGGCTTGAACGGTTTAAGATGGAATCCATCAGGAAATTGAGTAATTTTGATTTTCAGTGGACAAAAATCGTGTACCAGAATAATTTAAAGCATATTGCATTGCTAAAGATGGAATAAATCATCTGTAGTAACACCAAAAAGAATTTCTTATGGAAGAAAATGAAGGTCAAATTTCACAAAATTACATCTTACACGTGAAATTTTTAGAATTTTACCTGTATAATCACAATTCTTGTGAAATTTTCTCGGAATTCCATGAGAAATTTTCTTTGGTGTTACTACAGATGATTTAATACATCTTTAGCCCTTGAAAAATCTGAAAAAGAATGCAATATTCTTTAAATTATTCTGGTACAAGATTTTTGTCCACTGGAAATTAAGATTAGTCAGGTTCCTGATGGATTCTGTCTTAACTTCTATTCTAACCCTCCTTCATACAGAGGTTCACAAATAAACCAGCGCAAATTAGTTTCTCTTAAATCTGATTTAGCTTGTGTCTTGACCTGTTTTTGTCGTGTATCTTTTTCTATAGACGGTTTCAACTCCAGGAAATCGTTTCCGTGGAGCATGTTCCCGACCCTCGGAAAGGGGATAGGTTCCTGCTGGAGCTACTGCTTACTGATAGCCGAACCGCGGGGCAGAACATGTTGTTGTCAGAGCACGTGTTTAGATCATCAATGGATAAAAAGTTGTACTACCCAGAAGGATTCTATTGGAAAAAACAAGTCACTGTCAATATCCTTGTACCTGTAAAGAACGGAGGTCGCTGGGCGCTGTACTTTATCAAGAATATTGCAGGTACTCATCAACCAGCTATTCTAGGCTGTGCAGGAAGTCTTGCTTTATTTTTTCTTTGTTTAATTTTATTTGCTTAGTAGACCCCCAAGGTTGTTCACCTTAGCCCCGCCTTGGCCATTGACAACCTCGTCCCCAGGACCTCTTCGTTAAAAATGGGGCGGGGTGGGCAAAATGCCCTAGGGACGAGGTTGGGCCATTGCTGCAAACTTAGCACATGTAGGCCATCATGTGCGCTGGGTTACTAAGAAACATATTTAGCGATGCAAAATGCATTTAGGATTTTGCATTTATTGTCATCCCGAGATATGAACTGTGACTGGTACACCATTCACAGAATCACAGCCATAAAGCTGCTGATTACTTTCGTCTTTATCACATTTCCTAAAGAAAAAGAAAACTTTGAAGCTTCATTCACCGAGAATCATATGTTACAATTGTGCCTACTTGAAATTGTTTCTTTTTTTTTCACAGAAGTAACTCGTCAAACCAAGGACTTGGACGTTCGAGTGATCATGATTGACTACGAAAGCACTGACATTAACATAGAAGCAGTGCTAAACAAAAGCTCCCTTCGGCAGTTTACTGTGGTGCGCATCCCCAGAGAAAAGGACTTTAAGAGAGCAGTGGCCCTTCAACTAGGGGCTGAAGCAGTGAAGGACCCACATAGCGTACTCTTTCTGTGTGACCTTCATCTGAAGATCCCATCTAATTTGATTTCTACCATTCGCAAGGTAAGAGGGATTTAATTGGAAACGATATGTAAAAAGTTTACCTATTTTAAGGATATTCTCTCTTAAAGCCACTGCACGCCTCTCCTAATTGAGACGGTGATGGTGATCGGTAAAAGTCGGGAGTTTCCTGTCTACTCCACAGGCTTCCCAAGACTCAGTGGGGTGCACGCGGAAAGCGCTAGAGGGACATGATGAGAACGAGCGTAGAGCTCGAGCGTGGAGTTATGGGAAGGAAAAGAAGGGAAAAGAGACTCACTTCCTTCGTCCCCGCTTTCCTTACAGTAATTTACTCAAATATTCCACAAAAAGTGATCGCCGGCGACAGGGGACGAGGTAGGGGAGTTTCGACAAAACGATTGACTTATCGTTAGTCGGGGATCTGCGAGCTTGACAGATATGAACCTATTTCTTGTTTGCATCTAACGTCACGGTTGCCATGCATATTGGTTGACAAAAACAAGTGAAACTTTTCTCCACTGGGAATTAACCTAAGGGCCTGTTTAGGGTGGGGGACCCTAGATAGGTGAGGGAACATTTGGCGGGTCAACCCACTTATCATGTCAATAAAGACGAACACTGCTTTTTGTATCCGTGTTGTCTAAATTATTAAGGTTAGATTAGTTGTCATGTCCACAAATTTGGAATATAGAGAAAGAGAAAGACAGAAGGGGCAAAGTAGGCGACAGGCCAGTAAAGCTCAACGAGAAAAAGAGCGAGAGCTAGAGCTAGAGCTAGAGAGCAGAGCTAGAGTGCATAGCGGCGGTGAGAAAAAGAGAAATGCTAGCGGCCACCAAGGTGCACGAAAATAAGCGGCAGTGAAAAAAAAGTGAACAAGAACACGTACAACATTTCCTCCATGTGTAACTAGGAAGTTTCTGGAAGTTTCACGTTGTAGTCGTGCAAAACAACGGCAAAGAAATGTACAAAAACTTATGTGCTGCACGTGCAAAATTGCTTTTCTGTTAACCGTTCTCGTTGCCTTCGGAGCTTAGCATTACACGATTTTATATTTTGTTTGAACAAACTATAAATATTGTCGAGAGCTTCGCTTTATAATTACGCCCTGGCTAAATCTACATATTAGAATTAGACATTTCTAACGTATTTAACTACGGACTAAACTTCAGAAGGGGGAAGGGGGGTATCTTCATGATCAGCGATGTCCCTACCATGCAGTGTAGTTTGAATTAATGGCAGATTGTTTATAAGATTTGTGAATAGATGAGAAAAATGCAATACTCCGAATCCTTTACCCCCTTACAGTTAAAAGCCCTCATATTCACAGACACATTCTCCATTCTAACCTCCTTCCATCTCCTTAGAGAATAGTTGAGAGAATTTCAATTGATAAAAGATCAAAGCCTTTTTCCTTAAAGATCAATTTTTTTAATTTTCATGATCTTTCCTCTTGATAATTAATTGGAATTGTCAGGGGAATATTGTTGTCGGTCACACTTTAAAGGTATAAATTGTATGTGGCTTTAATTACTGGTCCTAATAAAATAGGAATAAACTATTATACTCCATGGCCAGTTCTATAGTTTTGTTCAGTGCTGGGGAAAGGGGGAGGGAGAAAAGATTATTTTAAGCTGAAGAGAAGAGAGGATAAACTAAAACTGCAAATAATAAAACGTAAATTAATGTTTATTATTACAACAAAATTTATAAAAATATAATACATGTCTCATCTCGTTGGGCTCTCCAAACGATCCTTAATTGATATATCAGCAAAGGATCATCTCCAGAGATCCCGATGCTCAATGAAAGACTTCTGAGTCTCTTTGTCGTTAAGCTAGGCTAAATTAATTGACACTTCCATGTCTTTTTTGCTTAACAACAAATTAAAAAAACTCTAATATATTGGTTATATAAAATAGAAAGGAATAACACTCGTACGTAAAACAACTTCACTTGTGCGACTGATTGAAATTACCGAAAATTACATAATTATGATCTCTATCAGTCACATGTGGCAAAGCTTAGATAAAGATTCCTTTTCTGCCAGTAGTTTCGCTAAATGATCAGCATATTCTGGGGAACGTTCGATTTCATCTTCTAATTCCGAGTACCGCTCGATGACGTTTAAATCCAGTGTCTCACTCAGCCCATGTTTATCCGCAAGATTGTTACCATTCGAATGTAAATCTGAAACACTGTGCCACTGTGTAGACTCCTTTTCATTCATTATTTTAGTAATAAGCCGAGCGTGATCTGGTGAACTTTCCAAGTATGAAAACTTTTCAATCGTCTCCAAATCCAGCTCAAATTCATCATCAGAATCAAATTCTGATTCTGAATCAGAAACGGTGTCTAAGTAAGCAGCATCAATTGACGGTACAAGTTGAAGTTGTTCATCCATAGACAGTTGGTCTCTTCTTGATCTTGAATTGGTCTCTGATTCGTTTATCTCCAACAAGTCTTCTAGCAGTTCCTCTGGTGTCGACGTAAGTTCTCTGTCAGCAAGTGGTTGTTCTGAGGTATCTTTATCAAGCTGTGTTTCCTCTGAAGAATATATTAGGGATTGCTGGCTTTTACGTAACGTCTCAGTTTCGTTGATGGGCCTTAACAATCTGTGCGTATTTGGCTGTGGAGACAATTGCTTTAACAACTGTGCCACTTGCTGCGGTTTGGGTTGCGCTTCTGTTTGACTCACTGTCTGCACGACTGGAAACATATAGGATTGTATTACTGGTTGACTCATTTGTTGCGTTAATGACTGTGTCGTTGACATCACAACTGGCTGTGTCACTGCTTGTACTTTTGACTGCATCGCTGCAGGATCAGCTGGTTGCATAGCAGTTTGTGCATTTAGTCGTTGCATCACTGAAGGTTGCATTACTGAAGGCGTAGATGCGTATGGCACTTGTTGTAGAGTACCTGGTTGCATTATCCGTTGTTCAGCAGACGCGATCTTCAGCGAAAAAGCACTTTCCCCAAAAACTCCCATTCTAGAAGCCAGTGGTCTCTTAGTATCCGCTATTTCACCATAGGGACTTACGAATGGCCTGAATCCTAACTTCACTTGCTGTGGTAAAGGACAGGTTACAGATCTTTCCATTCCAGTCGCTAGTGCTGACCATTTAGCCTTTTCATTCTGACCAAACGGTGTTGTCATTGGAAAGACCTCTTCGCTTACTTCCATTTTCTCTAGCTCTGTGACATGTACTGACTGTTCATCTAGTTCCATTTCTTCTACGGCTGATGGGATTGTGAATGGTGATGCAGGAAATGACGGCAGGGAAAAAGGAAAAAAGCTCCAAACTGAGGAATGTTCCTGTTCTGTTTCCATTTCTTCTATTTCTTGCTTTTCAGCCGAATTTGTGATTGGGACTTGTACAAAACTGGAATGCCCTATCATTGGACATGGTCCATAGCTAACTTCCATTGCCTCTGGCTTTGGAATTCTAAATGGTTTCTCAACAATTTCGCCAACCTCCATCGGCTCTGGCTGCGTTACAGTACCTCCCTGGACTAAATGAGATGTACTCAAGATGGGCTGTAGTCTTGTCTGGACATTCTTAAAACTGCTACCTGTATCACTTCCAAAAATATTCTCCCCTGCCCTTGACAGAGCAGTAAACTTAGTGTTTCTCAACTCCAAAGGATGCGGCTCCTTGATTCCCGTAGTCGTGTTTGGGACGGCAGTGTTGAACTTGAATTGAGAGATGAATGAAGCAGGCGTTTGGCCGTCAACTGAAGTTCTTTCCTTCTCGAAGTGTGGCCGCTTTCCTCGAGCAAATGGAAGATCCTCCGCGTTCTGTATTTCAACCGAGTGCCTGTTGACGCTGTTGGAGGGCCTGATAACCTCGGATTCTGCATTAGCATTCACTGAAGAAAGTGTAGTCCTAATGTCTTTACTATTAGCGACTGTGTTCACTTGAGAAGGTGGTATAATCCGTGGAATAGGTTTCTCTTTTGGCTCGCAGGTAACTGTTGGAGTTAAGGCTGGTGTGTCCGCGCAGGCGGATGATATAACGCCGGAGGTTGGTGTATCTGTGCAGGTGGCTGATATAACTGGGACTGGTTTATCTGTGCAAGTAGCTGATAATGTTGAGCTTGGTGTATCTGTGCAGGTGGCTGATATAACTCGGATTGGTGTGTCTTCGCATTTGGCTGATATAACTTCCTTCTGTTTCTTCGTTCTGTTCACAGCAACTTTAGAAGATTCATCACCACTGGAGGGTAGCATTGATAGTAATGGTTCACAGTCCTTTAACTTGCCTTTCGATGATTTTTTCGAATGCTTCTTTTTAAGTTCTGGCAGATAGAGCCGCTGACCAGTACTTGAAGAAGTGCTCATCTGGACCTTCTTTCCTGCGGACCTCGAGTTTTGCTTATTGTTGTTGCGTTGCAAGGACTCGTTGGTGTGTGAATAAAGGTCTTTACTGTTGCGTTGTGATCCGGGTTTGATTATTGGATTCTTTTTCTTGTTCGAGTATTCGGAATAACGAACATGTTCTGATGTGCTTGATATACCACCTGCTCTGACGGTTGAAAGATTCCCAATATACTTCTGGTCATCTTTCGGGGCAGTTGATGATTGTAGTTGATGCGCAACATTATCATCAGTAGACTTGTTGTCTTGCTGGACTTTCGTGATAATCGAAAATGCGCTTGTCATTTGGGGGGAAGTATTTCCTTCCTTCGCAGATTTGTTTGTGATAAGCTGAGAGACTACTTCATGTATGTGTGAGGTAGATGTTGCGACTGCAGATCTCAATACTCTAACTCCACTTGTGAAAGGACTACATATTACACGGCCTGTCTTGCACAGCACTCTAGTCATAACTTCCGTGATAACTTTTCCGTGACTTTGTATGCTGTGTGTTAAAGTTGCCTGACCTCGGATAGTGTCTAAGATCGCGCTTCTTGTTGCGCTTATCACCATCATTGAGTTACGAGCTAACATTTTACGACTGTTCTTTATGTTTCTCAGCTGAGCATTAACGAACCTGAAACATCCATTCCGCACGATATTAACCACTGCATTGGCCATATCCATCAAAATAAGAGAAACTTTTCTAATTTTCTGATTCCTCTCTACTTGCCATGAAGAGTAAATACAAATTGACTTCGTCGCGTCGTGGACAAAATTCGTCATTGTTTTAGACGCAGCCATCAAGGTGCTGTTAAAAAGTACTTTGTTTTTTCCCGTGCTATTCTCGCAGTTTTCTTGGTGCACCGTGTTATTGTTCAATATCTTTGTACCTGTCTCAGGTAGAGACTCTTCAGTCTCGTTACTATTGCAACAGTCTTGCCGTTGGTGAATAGCAGGGTTTTTCGTTTCCGCATTTACATCGACAGACCACAGCCTCACAGGACGTGTTTTCAAGATCGAAGTTGGGGATTGGTTAGCCTGTGGCTTTGTCATCTGAATTTGATTAAGCTGTTTATAATGATCAGTCAGGTCGCAACTGGTATTCTTGTTCTGATCATAATAGTCCAGTCCCCGATAACTGCCGATCGAATTCAAAACAGTTTTAGGAACAACGATTTTCCTCTCAATATGCCCTCCATATTGACTGGGCCTTAACTTTACACCATCCTTGATTCTCTCATTTCTTTTTTCCAGTTTGTAGTTATTTTCATCCTTGTTCTGAAAATCAAAATACAGTGTCCGTAAAGAGTTGGTGATACCTGTGGCCACTTGGCCTGTCCTTCGTGAAGCATGATTCCTTGTAACACGTTCTTCATCACTTCTCGTCTGATTATTGCTGATAAAACGATCTGGAAATCTCACGCTGTTTGTCACCGCTTTCGTTGAAATCTCCTTTTCTTTGAAAGGTTTTTTGTTCTTCAACAGGCTTGTTGTCTTGACTCGGCAACTTTCACGGCTTTTAGACGTAACGGTCTCGGTGTCATTACCTTGGATGGTAACGTTAATTGTCTGCTTTGTCCGCTGCTTGGTCGCAGTGTTAGTTTTCAAAAACACAAATACCCAACGACCGCAAGCACAGATCCTGTTTGCCGTCCATTCCAATACTTTCATTACCACCACAAAAATGCGGGGAAAAAACAGAGCGACTATTAAAAGCACATTGTAAAAGAAACACTTAACACTATTCATCTTTGAATTTCTCTGTTTGCAAATCTCTGAAAAAATTTCTTCAATTATTCGCTTGTGACGCTATTCTATGTCGATTGTTTCGTCATTTAGAGTTCGAACGTGCGTCGTTTTACGCGCGCGCTCTACGTAACTAATCGCGAGATACGAGGAGCCGAAGCGAAAGTTTATTGAGACATGATCATCGCTTATTGGCGGCTATGAAATTTAGTGCTTCCTTTTTAAACCCTTCTTACTTTGTATTATTGTTACACTTATTATTATTGTTTGCATACAAGGGAATAATTTAATTACAACGATTCTCTTATATCTGTTCCCCAGGTAGGTACTTGTTATATGACTATTACTTATTAGTAAAATCCAACTAGTGGTCTATTATCAATGCTGCGTTCTAATTGGTTGAGCTACTACTAGACTATATGTTATAGCCCACTAGTAGCGAAAAGCGCCGGCTTTTTGGCGACAAAAAAGGATTAAAGTCTAGCTTTAACTAGCTAAATTTTTTTATTCTTGATATTTTTGTCCAACTAGTTGGATTTTGCTAAAACAATTATTCCTCTCGCCCTCGTGGCCTCTGAGTCAATAGCCCATTCGGCCGGCTATTGACTCAGAGCCAACTTGGGCTCGAGGAATAATTGTTAAATATTTAGCCATAATTTGAAGTGTTTCAATGTTTACTGTTTCCGGAGAAAGTACTTTCAAATGTTTAGAGGGTTTTTTTTGGTGAAAGAATAGTATCTAGACACTATAAAAACATAACTTTGCACATGTGAAATTAACGACGAAAACAAAGTCGAAAATTTTCGGTAGTCTTCGGACATCTACGGAAATCTTCGACCGTTTTTGGGGATCAGTTCGGTAGTCTTCGGGAATCTTCTGAAATAATCCAGAATCGTCGGAGAATGGCCAAAAACTCTTTAATATACTGAACAAAATAATTCTGGTCTTCTTTGAGCCGTTTTACTGTTACCGTCAGTTTTTTTACTGCTATTATTAAAATGCCTAAACTTTACCTGTTTCATGTTACAAAACCAAAAAAGTGTTTAGTGTTATCGAACTAAACTCATTCAGACCTTTTTGGAGTAAGGAACGCTCATTAGCAGAGCCCAGATCACCAATTACGGGTTATATAACGTTATAAATTAAAACCTAAGCGGGCTACCTCACCAACCTGGGGTCCCCCGCCTCCATGTAAACAGGTCCTTAATCTAATTGACCACTACAGAAAATGCCATAAGATACCATATTACCTTTTGTTGATCACTCCAAAATTTTCATTAAGCATTGTTTCCAGTTTCTCTTGGGAGTTAAAGTGGCCCCAAGAGAAACTGAAAACAATACTTATGCAAAATTTTGGGGTGATCAGCAAGTACGCAAATTAATAGCCCATTTTACAGTTACAGTTGGAAATGAGGCTGGAGTTGACCTTGTTTTGATACAACCCTGCTTGCTTTATTATGTAAATCATGTTTTTGTTATTCTAAATAGTATTTTTTAAGCAAAATTTACATTAGAAAAGGAAGGAGGTCTGTATCAAAACAAGGTCACCCTCAGCCTCACGTCCACTCAAAGGCTAGGACACCAAGCCCACAACTGTAAAATGGCCTATTGGAACAAAAGAAAGTTTTTGCGTGAGAAAAAAGTTCAGCTCCCACAGGACAGGTTTGGAACACTAACTGCCTGTGAACTATGTGCCACTAATCGTTAAATCATGTTTTGTACACTCATCAGCACTGTATCGAGGGAAAGATGGCGTTTGCTCCAGTAGTAAAAAGGCTCAAGTGTGGATATTACCCAGACCTACCATTTGGTTACTGGGAAACCCTCGGGTTTGGCTTATTAGCCATGTACAAGTCTGACTTCGACCGCGTGGGAGGAATGAACGTTCGAGAATTTACAAAATGGGGAGGGGAAGACTGGGAACTACTGGACCGGATTCTGATGTCTGGATTGGAGGTTGAAAGACTCAAGATCCCGGATTTTTATCACTTTTTTCATCCGTCGTTTGGAGGGAGTAATCAAAGAGTTGGGGCTTGACTTTAATTTGCGAGGACTGCGAGCAGAAAAGTCTACCACTTCGGAAGAGATGTACGCTTAAGTAATTTTCACGCGCTGGTTACTTTCTAACGCAACTTTTCCTTACTACGGTTGTTCTCTTCTGAGGCATAATTAAGCTCCAGATAAAGTAATATTGAACGCAATGATGTAAGTATGATGAAAAGCTGTGAAACTGGCTTTTTAACAATTTAAGCAGGACTTTAACTCGAGAATTCCCTTTCCACTTTGCGATTCATTAAAAATGATAAACGTCGATGTCATCACATTATCTGGTATGGTATTCTGTAAAAAATTTACTAGTGAACTAAATGACAACATAAAACAACTTGCTATAAACTGTGCTGGATCTGTCTTTTACCAGCCTTAAAGTTATGGCTCATTATAATATTGCTCATCTATAGCGTTGTCCAAGAAACTTGATAAAATCTGTGAAACAGCCGCTTAACCCGAGGCATTTAGATTTTAAAGTCCACCACTCGTACGAGTGGTGAGGCTCTGGCCCGAAATCTAACCACTTACCCTTTTAATATAAGCCATGTTTGACCGAAAAGGTACCCCTTTCGTGCACCTTCTTTTAACAAATGGTACCTCTTTCACATACCTCGATTAGAACTTTAACCCTGGCTTTAAACCCTAACTTCAAAATTCAATAGAAATAGTGGGGAGAGTTTATTGAAGTATCAATTAGATTCATCTTGTGTGATCATGTCCGTAATTCTCATGACCACTCTATTTTATAAAGCAGTGATATTACAAGGAGAAATTTGATGCTGATCACTCTTGGGGCTTAAAGGGTTAACTGTACTGTCTTGAATATGAATAAAACACAAAACCACAACGTCTTCTCAAATTTTTCACAGCCATAAAACACATTTTTTAGCTGCCTTTTGGGTCTTTTTACAGTTCGAAAAGTTACATGTCCCTACCCTTTCATATGCTTTAATTAGTGTGAAAAAGGTACCCCTTTCGAGCGGAACCTCCCTGTATAGGCCATCATAGGGAAACCCCCCCGGGGAACTGAGCATTCGCCTTAGACTTGAGCACTGGAACTATCCATGATCATGTTCTCGTAATAGACCCTCAGAGTGCTAGAGAATGTACATTCAAGTTTCCTTATTTCAATCTAAATTCAGGGGATCTTTACTTTTATTGTCTTCAGTCCCTTTTCGAGAACATCGGCCAATATTTGGGGGAAAGCCTCAAAGATTAAAAATAATCTCAAACAATACTGATCATGAGTGATTGGCAATTTATTTACTGTCGTCTAGTCCTACAAAGCAGCAATTCTGTTTTCATCATCAGAAAGTTGTTTTAACTGTCTGTGAAAAGTTTTTTCCAGACTAAAGTTTGAACAATTTCTGCAAAAGATTACGTAACAATTATCCAAAAATATACAAAAATTAAAGCAAAAATTCACTTCGCTTTCCATAAAAGTGCAAAGTAATCAGCCTCGGACACAAGTCACTACAAAAGGATTGCCCTCTTAAATGCTTTCTAACTCCCATTCACAAGAAATCTTGTTCGCAAGCTATGCACAATGTTGACCTCCATTTGACTAGCGCCGTGGTCAGGGGGGGTTTTGACTAAACGACTAGACCTTTGATTTCTCCTTTTCTAGAGCCATAAACTTAGGGTCCTCAGACGCTGAAGGACCCCATGTCTGGTAAAAAGACTCATGATTGTGTTAGTACTGCAAACAATGTTGCACTGTGAATTTCGGGTCAATTTAGGTTTCTGAGAAACTGCCCTCCTACCCCTCCCCTAAGCTGACATTAACACTTACTTCTCACTTAGGGCAAAAGGATGGCTTAGGGGAGGGGTAGGTAGGTAGTTTACCAGAAACCTAGTTTCACTAGGTGGCTGAATTTTAATTTCATGCTTTGCGAAGAACTAGGAAAAAAAAAACACTAATTATCACTGTCGAGTTTCAGCTCAATCGCCTTTTCAACGGCGCTTTATTGCGAAAAATTACGTTATCCGGTCAAGAAGACTCGAAATGGACTTACCTATTTTCACACAGCTAATTTTCGACAGAAACTAATTAGCCTTAATTCTTCACGTAATAAAGAAAGCAGGAACGTTCTTGTTAAGTAAGTACGTCAAATAAGTTGTCATTGCAAACGCAAGTAAAATATCCAAAACCAATATATTAACATCCTTAAATCTTAATTTGGATGCGAAAATTCGATCTTTCCTTTATCGTCGCCATTAGTGTGTAGTGCATGCTTAGAGACTCATGGAGACTGCGGCGGGGTGTAGCCTTCTATGTGCCATGCTTGGTAGGGTTTCCCAGCTTTCTGACATCACATCAAAGCAATCCACCCGGCTTGAATAAGCTTTCATCCACAACTTTTCATTCCCACCGACCAAAAACATTTGCGAGCCGATCACGCATGCTCCGCAGCCGAAACGCGGGTATGGCATGTTTGGAAGCTCCAACCACTTCCTGTTGCGCAGGTCAAACATCTCCACAGAGTCCAGTGAGTAGTCGCCGAGAGTTAGCCCGCCTGCTACCACAAGCTTCTCGCCAACGGATACCACTGCACAGCGACGGCGATGGATGTTCATGGCGGGAAAAGTCTCCCACTTTTCAGTTTTCAAGTTAAGGCATTCGACTGCATTGGTAGGTCGTCCAAACGCATCTCCTCCCGCCTGAAAAAATAACTTAACATTAACAGAGCAATGCTGCGTTCTACTGTATTCCAGGCGAGGTGATTCTATTCAGCAATTGAAAAGCCTTCTAAAGAAGCAGACGTCCATCTCTCAAATCATCCCGGTATCACAGCTTGTTGGAGCAGTATTTGGAGCAGTAGTTGGAGCGCCTGAACAGTATTTCAAACAAACGCAGATGAACCACAGAGAGTTGAAAGTGAGGACTAAAGAGGCTCTATCTACAAGATCAACGACCATATTGGATTGGGTGGACGTTTGTGAACACAGCAGATTACACGGGAAAGGAATCTGAAACACATTGAAAGGCTGGCGCGCTGTAACATTTCTTAACAACTACTTTTAATGGATCTTCATTAGGAAATGTGAGGAACATAACCTTCTTCAAGATTTCTTTGAGTTTCCCATTTTCCTACCACGAGCATTGAGCTTATGAGAACTTTTGATGAAAAGGCTGACAAATGACGAGATAAACTATTTACAGTCAATCTTTTTTCTTTCCTTAAAACAAGGCAATTAAACGAGAAGGGATAGGAGTGGCTTGCCGCACCGCGTCTCGTACCGCAACCCCCCTGGTCCCTATCTTTTCATCTGAGTTCTTTCAGCAGAAAGGATTATTTAGAGGAAAAAATTCGGCCGACAAACCGACTGCAAGCAGTCTAATGGAGAGATGAATCTAGCTCGTCTTTCGGATTTCGGGTAGGCGTCTCTCGTTACTTCCCATCAACGTCATACTTCTTCATGTACTCCCTACCCCTTTCGACGCCTGCTAAGCAGGCTATTCTTCATGATACCCTATAGCTGAAAAAGGTGATGGTTTAACTTACCACAGCAAAGTAATCCCCGACAATAGCTCCTCCACACTTGGTGCGCGCTGTTGGCATGGAAGGAGCTTTCAGCCATTTTTCTGTCTTGATGTCGAATACTTCTACAGAATTAAGCTCTTTGTTGTTGAACCCTCCTGCTACCACAAGGCGAGCCCGCGATTTATCAGTGACACCACAGGGGTATGCGCGAGAGGTTACCATGGGAGCCAGTTTTCTCCACGCAGATTCCTTCCAATCAAACAGTGATACGCTATCAAGGGGCTTCTTGCTGTAAAATATGAGATTAAAATGATAGTACGATACCCTAGTGGATGTGTTACAACGACAGGTAACAGGGCAAAAGGCATCGAGCTTACTGATGCCGCGATAGCAAAAATATGGCCCGTTCACGTTGTAATTGGCAACTTCTTTGCACTAAATCAAGCCAGTTTTAATTTATGCGATCTGTCACAGCAGCCAAATTTATGCCCTAGTCCAAGTTAGGTTTTTACGGCTGTCTCAAGGGTTCGAGGGCAACCGTTGCTGCGATCGGTTCGCTAGACTACGAGTAGTCCCCCATTTTTCCTCAGGGATAGTAGAGCGAGCAAAACGCGAGCGCGCGTGAAAATCAACCCACGCGAGAAAAGGCGACACGCGGCATGTCGCCTTTTCTCGCGTGGGGTGATTTTCACGCGCACTCGCGTTTCGCTCGCTCTACTATCCCTGAGGAAAAATGGGGGACTACTCGTAGTCTATCGGTTCACCTGATGTGTGTAAAGAATGCTTGTGGTACTAGCAGGAAACCAGCAAGTTAAAAAAACGTACTCGTGTCTCGCAGTTTTAAGGGACTGATCTATTTCTGGATCAGTTTTGCGTGAATTTAGACTCCAAATCAGCAACATTATAAAAAAAACTCGAAAAATGATGTTTTTAAGTCCTGACGATGCAACGATTTCTACGTTACGTATATTATACTCAACGGATGCATTCATAAGGAGCAGACCCTCCACTTTCGTGAGAAAACTTTAGTGACTACTGTAAAAATTTCTTGGATTCTGGAATTCGGATTCCCTTGCATGAGGCGACTTACAAGTGGGGAGACTTAAATTTAAAGCGGATGTTTACGGTATTAGGATAAAGACTGGTAGAAAAATAACAGGTACCCCAAGCTCACGGGCGAGAATCGTTGTTGCGTAAGAGAAATATTGTGAGGGTTTGTATCGTTGTTAATGGGGTAAAAATTAGTAATAAAAATACATCAGATTTTTTTACCTTGTGTCCTTGTCTAAATTTATGGTGTTTTCTTCGCATTTTTGGCCGTTTAAGAGCGATTCCAGCGAGTTTTAGTTTTGCCGTTGTTCGTTATATCGGCCAAAAATGCTACGAAAACACCATAAATTTAGACAAGAACACAAGGTAAGAAATTCTGATGTATTTTTATTACTATTTTTGACCCCTAAAGCACGACCGCTCAAATACCCATACATACCCTTATTAATAATATTTTTGTCACGCAACAACGCATTCCCACTAGTGAGCTTGGGGCACCTGTGGAAAAATAAAAACTTTTGGCCTCACTTTGCAGAACCTCCAGCAGCAATAAGAGCGCTTCCATAAGCTCCCGCGGCTAAGCTGTTGCATTCCACTGGCATTGGGGGAAGGTCCGCCCATGTGCCGGTGTTGAGACAAAAGGCTTCTACGGCATCCATCTCAAAGCGTCCCTCGTAGCCCCCACAGCATACTATGACGTCACCTCTGAAGGAGGTGTAGTCAACTTGATATGTACCGTTGATGATCTCTTGGGCCATCATTAGACTTCTTTCAGTGATCTGGAAAAGAGGACTGGGAGTGAATAAGATCATTGAGCGGTCTCTATGGATCACTGTCGACCCCTGACCCCAGTGGTGATGACGCTGTCCACTTGATAAAGGCGCTATGCAGAGTGAATAAGTATTAGGGAAACCCAGCTTATCCAGTGATTAATGCTATTCACCTTTTGAAGACTTACAACAACTGGGGTCTGGTCGATCAGTGATGATCCTGAATTGTCGCTTGTAATATGCTTATCAATGGCGAGTAAACTTTTAATATAACCGTCCTTAGGTAATAGAAAATTCTGGGGATATATTTGCTTCTCCCAACAGACATTAAAAAAAAAACAGTCGTTGGGTGCTCTGTCAAAGCGTTGCCAGAGAACACGACTTAACACGTTGTAAAAAAAACTTTTCTTGGAAGACTAAATTGGAACTTCAAAACTAAAAATAATAGCTTTAAAAAAGACTCAATTTTTTAAGAGGTTGAAGTCATTTTAAATAAATAGAAGACGTATTTAAATGTCAGACCCGCTGCCACTAGTTTCAGTAAAGCAACGGAGGCAGCTGCAAAAATTTTGAAGATTCTTGGCGTGCGTCACGCGAAAGGTTCAAAAAGTAAATGCCTAATAAGATGGGGGAAGACATTGAAAAATTGTTGATATTTTTCCTGATATTTCATCAGTAAGAATTATTAGTCTGAAAAAGGGCTTTGAAAGAGATTGTTTAGTTCTTTCTTTTATGAAAAACTCTTAGTATTTATTACAGTAAATTTAACGAGGAAGGAATTTCACTTGAGAGAATTCGCAATTCAAATGCAGTTTTTTTTTTATTATTTTGACAAGGGCCTTAAAATTCGGAGAACTTGTTGGGGGACGATATGTCACTGTATCAAAAAAAAATCAAAAAAAACAATAATAGAGTATAAGACAGATTATCTCTTTTTGGCGATTAATGATCAAGATACGAAATATATATGCTACTGATATAAGCTAGCTGTCAGTGTTCATTAATTAAGATGCAAATTCGCCTGCAATGACCAGCTTTGAGATATTTCAAGTTCTTGTACTGATTCCTTCTGGTGTTAAGCAATTTTCTTTTAGGAACGCAAAACGATGAGTTAGCGGAAATAAGACATTTTCGAGTGTATGAGATGCACAATTGGTTTAGCGACCGCTTGTTGCAAAAATTATTCCTTGCATACCGTTCCTGCTGTTACACACTGAACGAAGTAACTTTACTTAACAAACCAAGAGTGGTTTTAGATTAAGCTCAGTTAAAATAACAGAACTACGATGGCAAGAGTCTATACACTCAGCTGTATACTCCTCTGACCCATCACCAATATCTCTCACTAACGGAAAATACTACTAAACAGTTCGGTAAAGTACAGCTGAAAAAGGCTGTAAAATCTAAGAGGTCATTGAGACACCATTTGTAGGAGAAGGCTTATAAAAAAATCTGTCGTCGAAAACATCACAAATATAAATTTCTCGAAGAGAAAATGCGAAATCGAGGGCCAGGTTTTTAACCCTCGCAGAACATGACATTTCACTGGAATTTTAATATAATGCGCTTTCCCACAGATTAATCTCGAAAAACATGGCAGAAAGTAACAGGATTTATCTATTCAGCAGAGCGAGACAACATTGCTTGTAATCGTCAACAACAACAAAAAATGAATGTATACTCACTTGCTTGCAGATCGATGAGTTCAACCCTGGTCAGCCTGCTAATTTATTCTGCGTAGAAACAAAACCAAAATTCAATTTCCCGTTTGCTCTCGATAGGCTACACAACCTCGCTGACGGTGTAAACAATATTACTGACTGTCTGTCAGTAGTCGAAAGCGATTCCGTCGATCTATTGCGAACAACCAACGGACATTTTTATGGCGACATACCAGGAGCGTTTATTGAGAGGTTAAAATTGGCAAGACAAACTCTAAGACAATTTGCTAAGCTCGCTTTCACAGCGCATTAGATTTGTCTCAAAACTTTCAAGATCATTTGCATGACAGGAGCGAAATAAAGCTGTCTTTTGCGATAAAATAAATTTGCATATCCAAGGATACACTTGAGAATACTTAATGACAGCCTAGTTACTTGTGTATACATTTATATTGATTTAATTCAAATGACAGTTACTATTGTAAACGTTGTTTGCATAATCCAGTTTGGAAGGCCCATCGACAAACAAATTATCACCTTTAAAGGTAACCAGTCACTTCGCCCCCAAGTCATTTCTCCCCGATCACTTAACCCCCTATTTTCGAGTAAATTAGTGCGCTTCAAATGTAATGTTCCTCGTTCTATAAGCCGTACAGCAAAACAAGTAAGCTTCAAATGTAACATTTCTCGTTCGTTCAGCCATACACCAAAACAAGTAAGCTTCAAATGTAATATTGCGCGTTCCAAAATAGGGGGCCAAGTCCCCGGGGGCCAAGTATACGGGGTGGAATGACTTGGGGGAAATGACCGTAGAGCGCTTTAAAATGACATGCTCGGCTAGCTAACAGTTTGAGCATGAGTTTTAAGGACCATGAAAAACGGAAAGAACGAGAGAAAAAAAACAAACAATAAGGTGCGTCTTTTTTAAGAAAACTTGACGCACCAGGTCACCGTGTACCGTAAAAGATAACAGATATCCCGAAATTACCATCTGTTTTGACAGACTGACCATTTCCGAACACAAACTAGTTCTTCTTTCGCGAAGAGAGAAAACACGACGAAATAGTTTATTTAGAGCAATAGAAAGGAGTCTTTTTCAATGGCCTTTTTAAGTCTTTAGAATCGAATTTCCTTTATTACAGTGCAATGTCCAAGGATAAAATATTGTTACAAATATCGGAATATTAACGTGCGTTGATCAGGTTTTGAGTATTTACGCTTCGATCCCGTGACTTTTCACGTGACATTTATCACGGTGATGACATTCCTGAAGAATCCTGAATGTTTTTTCTCGTTCCCAGAGGTCTGGGAACGAGATTGATTTGATTTCTTTTCATTATAAAGGACGTCTCGTCTTAGTTTAGACAATCCTAAAGGATGCATTGCAGCTGTAAAATATTTCAAGCGAGCAGATACGCTACGTGTAGTCGCCATCTTGATTTTGAAAGCAGCAGCGCCGGAAACGAGTTTAAAAAGCGCGATCAAGGACGAAAGAAAAGACTTGCTTATGCACCACCTGAGCGAATTCGAGTGCTACGCGCTAAGCGTCCCCAGGATAAGGTACCAGGCCCCAGCAAGCTGTTAAAAGGGTGGGTAGCGCAATCCACTGGTTAAATCTCTATCCGGATATCCATTTGATAACGCAATTGGTTTCTCTAATCCGCTGGATAGAGATATCCCGGCGTTTGAACAACAAACTGAATAAATAGCCACTTTCAACCCTGGTTAGGGTGCGGTTCATACCGGTCAAGCATTGGTTACTTTCTGTATTCCGCACTGGTGTTTTCCCTTTACTAATATGTAGCCTGAATAGATAAGCGCCTTATCACGCCTTTTCCTTGCCTTTAATGCCCTGCTAGAGACCGTTTACAGGCTGTGCGGATCGATAACGAGATGAAATCTATAACCGGCCTAAGAAATAAGAAACCAGTAAGAATCTTCTACTGCCTAACTCCTGGCAAACCGCACATCTCTTGTATTAAATTCCCCAAAGGATTTATAACTTAACTTTGTTAGTTGTTAATTCGTTTCCTTTGGTTTGTTTACCTCTTGTGCAAATACTCTTTCATAAAAATAATTCTATAGCAACCCAAGACGACAAACAGTATCTGATAGACTGTAGATGGAAAGATCAATTTCCGGCGATCATTTGGAGGTATCACTTACGGAATAAGATCTAGAATGAACCACAAACAACAAAAGGAAATTGTTTAGACCAACGTATATACACGAAATGTGGAGGCGTGATTGTTAAGAAGTTAACACCTCGATCGACCTTGACTGAGGGCTGTGTATAGGTACCCTTTAAGCCTTGCCGTCGTGTTGTTTCCGTCGATAAGAAACTAGCTTTGCTCCACGATCACTCAGTATACATGTACATATAAATGGGTGCGGAATGGAAGGTTTTCCATCTAAAAGGCGAGAAGGAATATTCTTGGGTGTTCAAGCTGTATAAATCAAGTTAAGCTATAACCGTTTGGACCTCCTTGCACCGGGGGGGAACTCCCATATGAAAATTACGGGATGCTTTTCGTCTCGCTTAGCGTTCTAACTTGCAGTGGTCGAACTTTTTGAGGGTGTTCTACACGAAAAGCCAATATTTTTGCGTATAAAGGTATCGCTTAAGGTTTAACCTGCGCCAGAGGGGGATAAGATGACGTTTAGGGCGCTTTATAGACCCATCATAGAAGATACTCCCACCAACCCCCCCCCCCCCTCTCCTTATCCCCCGCCCCACCGCCTCCCAGGCTCCTTGGCTCAGTCATATAAACGCCTTAGTTAGTTCTTGTGGTTCTTAGGACGAACAAACGAGCACTGGATTAAAGCATTTAAGATCTGCAATCAGGCAAAAATCCTGCATTTCCGGTCGGACAAAACCCTGCCCGGACCCCGTCAGTCCCGTTTACAAATAGAGCACTCGTCCCTTCTAGGAAGGTCTTGTGGTGCTCCTCTTCGGATTTGCAAAGAAGTTGTGTTTGTTTTTGTTTGTCAGGAGCAAACAGGAAAGAAATCAACACCAAAGCGGGAGAAAGATTGGTCACTGGGTAAAAGAGCATGAGCATAAATGTCGTCGCTTTAAAAACGATAATATCATTTCAGTGTCATTTATGTTCTAAACTCACCCTGAGTACATTTCGAACTGATTATACCTTACCCCTGTTACCCTGACTCATTTCTAGGAGTTTGAATCAATAAAGCTTGAACATATTCTTTTAAACCAGTAAAAGGAGCAAACCGTGAATAATTTTAACAATTTTATGCCATATTTTCCGAGTGTACGTGACTTGTGGCCTCATGTGGCACCGTCTGGAAGATGGGCTTCTACGTACGATGGCCTCTCGAAGCTTCGCCCAAAATAAACAGCTCCATACAGCATGCACATTGTCTGCAAACCCTTACTGAAATAATTTTTTCGCATGAATAAGATATATAATGTTGTAGAATAGGAAGTAACAGCAAAGTTGTAACGTTTCGGTGCGGTCTGTAACAATAAAACAATTTGTAACGGTTTGTGTGATCACTGACCATTGTCACTGAGTGACTCCCCCGGGTTACACCACAACAATCAGAAATGGTTAGAAGGGTATTAAGGTTTCATTTAAGCATAATTCAATGTTCCAAGAAGTCTCGTGTTAATTCACTTACATTCTGGTGGAAGAGATTCTGCCTGATAATGAAGAAATCTTGAATCCGCCTTTCCAAAGTCACAGCATGAAGGTTCTCTTACCTTGTAATCTAAATCCCGTGACCTTTTAATGGATCACCACAAGTGTTGATAATTTACTGTCTATCAGCAGGGTCCAGGAGTTGCAATTTAACCCGCGCGGGGTACCACGTAGCCGGTACGTTGTTTTATTTTATTTTTTTTTCAGTTCTTTTCGAGCGCACAGCGCGAGAAAGAAAAAAGAAGTCTACCGTATTTATTCGAATAAGCGCCCAACCTCGAATTAGCGCCCACCTCGAATAAGCGCCCATGCTAAAGGCAGAAAAAGTTAATAAGCGCCCAGCCTCGAATAAGCGCCCACCCCACCCCACTCCCTCCCACAATAACTCCAATAAGAGATAATAAGAGACCTTCCCGGAGACGGGGTTTTCTTCAGAGTATTTTACAGAAACCTTGCTTTGTTACATCTTCACTTTTTGTTGGTACCATTTACTGTTTGGTTGTAAAATATACTACTACACTTGCTGAGAATGGTGAAGATTTAATAAGCGCCCAGCCTCGAATAAACGCCCACCTCGAATAAGCGCCCACTCTCAAGGTTCAAAAATTTAATAAGCGCCCAGGGCGGTTAATCGAATAAATACGGTATTTTCTTCCTTCCCCACCCCTACCCTCTTGCACCCGATATATTTTATATCAAATTCAATTTTGAAGCAAGGGGTGGGGGAATTATGGGTGATTTGGTTTAAGTAAGATTTTTTTTCTCCAAACCTCTGGTGATAGATTTTTTCCTCGACATACAACGATGTAAGACTTTTTTTCCTGGTCCCGGTTGTTAAAACGTTGGATAGCGTTATTCACCGGATAAATCTCTATTCAGTGGATAACGCACTTGGTTTTCTTAATATTTATCCGCTGGATAGAGATTTATCCGGTGGATAGCGCTATTCAACGTTCGAACAACCGGAGCCAGGATTATAAGCCATGAAAGATATTTTTCAGTGTAGGCAGGTGTATTTCTCCTGATTTAGACTGTCCCCCCCCCCTCCACCTCCCTTCCAAAAAAATAATGATGATAATGTTAATGATAAAAAATAGATACTGAGTGAAAACAAATAAAATAAAAAATAGGGGTAAACATTTTTACCCAGTAGGCTTGCCAATTTCTTGCTCAAAGTGAAACTAAATATTCCTTCTCCCAGTCCTTAAAAGTCAAATTGCGATTCTGGACAGGAGGGAGGCGACCGAAGAAATTCTGGCCTACGTTCGCCTGACTAAAAAGGGTCTCAATGGGGTTAACTGTCAGCTGTCAAACGGCCTAAGATTTAACCTTTCACCATCGAAAAGGCAATTTTTACCGTCAACCGTCAAAATGCAGAAAAGTGATAACCGTCAAAGAGTTTCAAGGTATTTCACTGAAATTTCACCATTTCAGCTGATCTTCACGGACCTCTGGTTCCTGAAGAATATCAACACTGGAAAAACCAGTTCCCATGTTGTCAAAAACACTCTCTCTAGACATTACAAGGCCTTACAATTTGCTTACTTTGATATTTCGAAATTTTTCAAGTGAAAGGCGCGGCTAAGACAACGCCCAGACAGGCAGCAACAGCAGCCCATAAATGCAGAAGTTAATATTTACCTAAACTCTTGGACTAAATTTCCACCAATTAACTATCAACCCGCAACCGTCAAAAGCTCTAAAATTTAACCGTCAACTGTCGAAATCGTTTAAAAATAACCGTCAACCGTCAAAGCTACCCCACCCCACCTACACCTCGAAAAACGGGGGAAAAACGCCTGGCTTCGGAACCCAGCTTCAGGGCTCGGGGGGGGGGGGGGCACTCCCTTATATACGCCATATGGGTATGTGCCGCCCCATCGGGTAGGGTTTTGTGTCGTTTTGGTCTGAAAACGGGTATACACTTTGCCCATTTTGGTCTGAAATCGGGTTGGGTTTTCGAAGAAAATTCGGGAGAGTATGAACATTTTTATCGTTTCAATTCCAAATAAGTAAGAAAGAAAGAGAAATAAGCGAATTCGAAATGGATTTGAATAATTTTTGTGTTTGCGCCCTATTGAATGTAGACTTTCGTCGGTGAAAGGCTCGCTCCGCTCGCCAAGAGGTCGACTTGTAGCAAGTCTATATTGAAGGATAACATGATTTCTGCCTAAAGGCCTAGGCCAGGTCTCTTTTCGGATATGGACTCTTAGATGTCTAGTCTGAAAACAGGTGTGGAATTACATTTTTTGGTCTGAAATCGAGTCAGGATTTGAAGAACCGGGAGGCACACCCCCACGAAGAATTCCCAGGAGTACCCCCTACCCCCCGGCTTCAGGGCTAAAGTCCCAAACGTTTTTGGACTCGGACCGCCCTAACGTGAGAGCCGAAGCGCGAGAAACGTTCGCGAAGCGAGCGAAAGGGAGCGACGAAGTCGCGAGACTTCAGTGACGTTAAAAAAATTGAGTCGATCAGTCGAGAAAGTCTAGAACGCCCTTTTAATTACCCTTTTTAAATCAAAATCGGTCGGATTGTCCAACAAATTTGAATCAGGCGTTTTTAGGGGAGCTAGTATTTCGAGGAACGAAACCCTCGTCCCCAGGGATATGCCCTTACCAGCTAGCGATCCCATGATTCTTAGAGGTGCGTCTGAAACTGTCTAAAGATGGATCTTTTTTTAAATCTTTATCTCGTTATAATTTGGCTGTAGTGTTGCCACGGTATATTTGTATCAGTTTTATACTTTTTAAATAATTTTGAGCGAGAATATCTATCTTTGACAATATCAAGAGTAGTAGGTAAGTTTAAATAATAAAATAATGACCTCTCCTTTCAGCAAGGCACTGGTGGTTCAGTGGTAGAATTCTCGCCTGCCACGCGGGAGGCCCGGGTTCGATTCCCGGCCAGTGCAAGCTTACATTTTTTTTTCTTCTTCTTCTTCTTCTTCTTCTCCTCCTCTTTCCCACATTCTAGGAATGTTAGTACAGAAATTCATCTATAAATTTATTTTGTTTTCGTACTTAACTTTAACAAAAAAATTAAATTGTATCACAATGCAACAGTTCAACCACAGGTAACCCAACCTGAGTATGCGAGTCATTTAATAGAGAGAAGTTCAGACTGACGTTTACGGCAGTTTAAAGTTCGGAATTTCATTAGAAGAATACCTAAAATGCATTCCAAACCACAATGAATTGGTTTTGGCTCCATTCAACCCTATACCAATAATATTGCAGAAGGCTGTTCCAGGCATTTAGATTGTGGGGACATTGCAAAGAGGGATGAGTAGGAAAAACAGCAGGGAGGCGGCTGGGGGAGGGAGTAAGAGCATCTTTAGGAGGAGCCAACAACGATGCAAGCACAGTTACTGACAGGCTAGGAAACCCGGGGGGGGGTACTTTAGGAATTTCTGTGCTGCTGGGACCCTGGAACCCTTAACCTATTCCAGAGCTAGTTCAGCTAAATTTTGCTACCCTTTACTAGAGTAAACTCCCCAAATCCCCCCTATCCTAGAGTAGCTGTTTCCCTCGTCTAGATAAAATCTTCAACAAACTGATCAGTTTCCTGAAAAAGGATACCCTATTTTAGACCCAAATGTTCTGATTTATATACCCTATCCTAGAGTAAACTGCTTGAAAACCATACCATACCCCCGGGCCAGGAATATTGGTATTCATGGTATTATAATACCATTTCAGGGCATAGCTAGTTGAGAGGACAGGAATGACATCGGTGAGCGTTAGCCCAGGGGGCGGCACTTGGGTATTTTTTGGGTGGGTATGTGCCGCCCGGGACTCCAAATTGGCACCCCGTTCTAAAATCAATTTTCCCTAAAATTGATACCCCGTTCTAGAAATTGGCCGATTTTTTATACCCCGTTCTAGAATTTGCCCTAAAACTGATACCCCGTTCTAGAAATGGGCCAATTTTTTATACTCTGTCCTAGAAAGTTTGTAAATTGAAATAGCCCTGTTTTTTTCAAAAGATATTTCTTTATTTGTTCGACTTATACATCAAATAAATGCTTCTTCATAATCGGCAGCAATTTTAAGCAGAAGATAAGGCCATGATCCACAATTTTTTATACCCCGTTCTAGAAAACACCTCTCCCGTATACCTAATGTATGAGAGTACCCCCGGCGTTAGCCAGGATTCTGGTTATATACACAGTATTTATACTACTACATGAGAAATTTCTGCAATTTGATTGGCTTAGAGCAGTGGTATTTCAGCTTAATTCGAAATGCCTACATATGAAAATTACAAACCTTTTGCGGGTAGTAGTATAGACAACTAATAGCATGATTTGTACGTGATATTTGGCATAAATACCACTCGTGATATTTCAAAATTGTCCCAAATTTCACTTGCCTAACGACTCGTGAAATTAGGTATAACAATTTCAAATTATCACTCAGGGTATTTATGCCAAATACGGTATCACTACAAATCATGCAATTGCCTATACAAATTATACAGTTCATGGAAATTTGCATGGGTAGTTGAAATCAGGTATTGATATCTTTCCGCTAAAAATAAAACTATTAATAATATTGGGTGTATGGTTTACCATACTCCTTTTAGTTTTGGATATATGAGGAAATGATGAGAAATTTGGTAACTTCCAGGGAGCATTTTTGTTTTGAGTGAGGAGGTAATGGTATACCACAACCCCTGGCTGGTGGACACTGTGACTTTTTATTTCATCAATCTATTAGGGTTTTTCCTTCTTTTTCCTTCTATATTTACCATCATTTAATGTACAGAAAGGCCCCATTGAGAGCTAGGGTGATCATTATTTCCATTGTTGTGGAAAATGTACAGAAATAAATATCCTTGCCCTATAAAAGAACAAAATTTGACTAACTTGAATGACATTAAATAATGCAATAAATTGATTTTTGTTTCATCCCATTAAAAATTTATCAACAGAATAAAAGAAAATCAATTAAGTTATTGCTTTTGCACTAAAGTGAGGATAGTTATCTCTGGAGTGGAACCAATTCGCAAAGGTATGCCATAAAAATATGTTCCAGAGGAAACATAAACATAGGTTTCTTTGTGCTTATAAAGGCCAGCAAAGAAGGGATTAAATAGATAAATAGGTATGTGCATAGGGAAGAACTGCCCTCCATGAGTGTGACCTGACAATATGAGATCAATATCTGAAAATTGGTTCAACGCTTGTTGTGCAGCCTTTGGCTGGTGAGCTAGTAAGATTGTTGGGTATTTTGCACTTTTTCCACTGAGAGCCTTTGATAGCTTCATACCATGGTCTTCATAACTACAAACAAAATAACATACAACAACATCAAATATTTTTCTTTAGAAGAGAGTTAGAGTGGGGCAAACATACAGTGTTGCTCCTGGGAACACTACATTGAGCTAGCATCAATGGATACTTAGGTAAATGTGAAGCATTTCTAAAAACTTAAAAGTTTAATTGTTTGACAATGCAAATGGCCTTCTCTGTCAAGAAAGATTGTTGAGATCCAGGCATATTGCTACCATGGTAACCTGACATTACACTTCTCCTCTCTATATATATTATAAGTATTATTTTACAGGAAGATTGATTTATCTTACCTCAACCTATCAGCTTCTACATCATCTACCCCTGCAAGGTATATCTTGTCTTCTGGATTAGTTGGGCTTCTTATTAGGACATGTGAATTATGGAGAGGATGAATTCCAAACTTCTTTAGTTCATGTAACCATGCCTCAGCATCTCCAGTGAAATATTCATGATTTCCTGTGAAAATGACCTTTAGCTCAGTATGACAATGAGTTATTACTGCTTTGTTGCTACCAAATGAATGAAATACAGTCAGACCTCTCTACAATGGCCACCTCAGGAACAGAAGGAAGTGGTTGTTGTGGGGGGGGGGCATTACAGGGAGGTAGGAGTGTTATATAACAATTTTTCTTATGGAGTTCAACATGTTTATTGTGTCGAAGTTCATACTTACTGTATCCCATAATGATAATCCAATCATAGATTTTCTGTATAGATTAAAGAATATGCAAAAAAACTTGAATAATATTTTGAATCAAAATGTTAACGTGAGAAAACGAGCAAGACAATTATTTATGTCTACTGCAGCAGTATAAATGAAACAATCAAAATATGACTGACACGATTAATCATCCATGTGCCATGTGTATCAAATTTCATGACTATTCTTGACTTTTTCATCAGTCAATAAAAAAACTGGCCATTGTTGAGGGGCTATTTTGGCAGTTGGGGACATGCTTTAGTGGCCATTGCCATTGTAGAGAGGTGGCCGTTGTAAAGAAGTTTAAAGGAGCTGTGTCACGAAATTCAGTCAAATTACAAAATTACAAAATGCCCGTTAAATTAAGAGAAACATAAAAATAACCACTTAAAACTTTAAAGGAAGGTTAAAATAACATAACAGAAACAACAGATGCCACGGATGGGCAAAACTGAAGAAGATTGAAACGGATTGAAATTAGGGTTTTTGAAAACTGTTCAGCCTAACAGTTTTTCAAAGTTGATCTCTGCATGCTGCTTGCAACTTCACGGATCTCTGATTTTTGTCATTTACATGTAATTTCTTTGCTTACTTCAAAGTTCCATAGCGATTGAGGGCGAGTAATTGGCAAAATTAAACAAAATGAACTGGACTGCCATGACACAACCCCTTTAAACAAGAGTCATTGTCCCGTCGGGACAAAAAATGTGGCTGTTGTAGAGAGGTGCCCAGTGTGGAGGGGTGGCTGTTAGTGGAGGTTTGACTGTAGACATGTCCACTTGTTTTTTCAGCTTTTGACATGGACAAGTTTAGGAAAATCCATTGACATCACTGGAAAAAGCACTTTAAAATTAGTAAACTTGCCAACTTGGGTGGGGCAAGGTTGTGCTCCCTACCATATAAACACCTGTTAAAATTTCAAGACTTTGAGGAGCTATATCTTTTATAATTTTCAACAAATCTCTTTAAACTTAGTAATCTTACTAATTTGAAGGTGCCCTTTCCAGAAAAGTCAACAAATTTTCCCTCACTTCATGTCAAAAGTTGATGAAAAAACGTGGAAAGGCCTGTTAGGTGGACCATGAATTCAAAGACATGGGTGGCAGTTGTAAGAAGCAGGGAAAAGGGATTGAAAAACTGCAAAACTGCAAAGAAAAATTGTAATTAAAAAAAAATACACTCAGAAAAAAAACTTTAAAAAAGAAAGCTATATTAACTGCATTTCTCAAGGGCACACCATAATAACAACAGAGTGAGGCTCCAATAAAGTTTGTCTATTGGAGGCTAATAGTCTTGAGGCGGATTGGGGGATTGTATTGAGGGGAAGGGCAGGTTCCCTGATATAAACTCCAACTGTCGTAGAGAGGACTGACCTTCAGCAGAGATTTCCTCTTGACCATAATTGAAACAAACACTGCGCAGAAAATTATACGGCCAAGATTTCTGTACAACCCCATACATTTATTATGCATATATGTTTCAACCTACTCATTTCAACTGTATTTGTGTGAAATACAGTGGAAGCTTTAATGAGTGGACACCCTTGGGCTGTGAAAAAGGTGTCTGTAGCTTAGCTGGTTGCTTATGGGAATAAAGAGCTTATATGGGAGTTGGAAAAAAGTAGAGTAAGTAGAGCTGTCTGCATAGGAGAGCTTCCACTGTAGTATGAAATTGCTGCATTCATAATAAATGTATTCAGTTGTACGCAAATCTTCCCAACTTTACCTGTGACAAAGAAAACTCCATATCTCGAACTCAACTTCTTGAGTGGTAAAATAATTTGTTTTAATTTCTCCACAGTGGAATCAACGAGATCCCCAGTGATTACTACAATATCTGGCTTAATAATCAAAACCCTGTTTACCACTCGCTCAAGATCAGCGCTTCCAACCATGGGTCCAAGGTGAATATCGGAGAGCTGGACAATTGTTGTGCCATAAAACGACGGTGGCAGTTTAGCTAGAGGAATAGTCTTCCGTACAACAGAAGGTCCTTTTGATGCCGCAGACAGACCATGGATACACAGAAAAATTGAAACTGCGGAAGCTATTACAGCCTTCCACTTATTTGCATTGGGAAAAGGGCACTTGAAAAACCACAAAATCGTGAAAATAGCGCTAAGGAAACAGAGGTTGAAGAATAACAGAATGACAAGCCCTAGACATGTAAAAGCTATCCTCGTGATGAAAAAAGGTTCGCGTCCGATCGACAATCTTGAAACAGGAATGCTGAAAAATGACAGGGCAACAATTATAACGAGAAAAGCATAGGAAAGCCAATGAACTACAAGTAAAGTTTTGGAGTCTGTTCGTCTAGAGGGAAGCAAGACTGTTAGGTTGATCCAAACGAAACGCGTAACGGCGCACATGAGCATGAAAAAGATAAGGATTATTTGAATCCTAAATAAGACCATTTTCCTCTGGGGTTTGAGATCCAGAAGTAACGTCCCTGCCATAGTTGTTGCCAACAACACCCCAATACCTCCAAGTACACGAAGCATTTTCATTTCCGCCATAACTTGACGATAAATTTTCTAAGTGGGAAGCCGTTGTGATGATAGAAGATTGTAAACACCTGTTTTCACCGACTCTGGTTACGAGATTGCCGCCATCTTGGATTATTTGGCGAGCGATCTGGGGAGAGAAAGTCGAAGTGTCGAGTGTTGGTGGGTAGGCGGTGGGTAGTAAGTCGGGTCGGGTATTCGTCGGGTCCCTTTCCAGGCTCTGAGCCGCGGGGAAAAAGCGCGAACATGAAAATAAGACGGGAGGAAACTGGGGAAAGGAAAGGAGGCGGTGTCCCAGTGATATGGGCATCCCCGCGTTTTGGGCATCCCCATTCCCAAAACCCTAGTGATGTGGGCATTCCCTGTATAAACTTAACCCAAATCGCTAAGGTAGTATGAGAAGGGAATGCCCATATCACTAGGGTTTTTGGAATGGGGATGCCCAAAACGTGGCTCTCTCCCTTCATTTTTCCTTTTTGCCTCCCTACCCCACTTTTCGCGTACCTTTCACTTTAATTTCGCGTCTTCCCCTCTGTATAATCTTAGAGCCTTGAATTCCTGCCCCCAATAATCTTTGCCAAAAAAGTAACCACATTCTACCACAGATCTAAATACTGTAAAAACCCTAGTGCTGACTGGCAAATGTCCACGCTGGTTAGGCCGGAACAACGACATTATCATTATTAGTTATAATCCTCATAGTCATTATCATCATTATTTATTTTATTCATTTCTTTTTATATTTTAATATTTGTATTATAATTTACCACGTTCCACACGTTTAGCGCTTGGCAAGCGGTATCTCAACCTGCTTTAGCTGTTGTTGTTCGTCACAGGTGGAAGTACTGGCAATGAACCTTTTTATTGCGTTCGTCATTCCTACCGCGAATGCAGAATCTTTCAGGGCCTCATAAAATACCCAGAAAGGTGTCGTTTTATAAAGAGACCTGCGGCTGAGGTCCCCCTCCCCTCCCTTCTGAGGACAAAAAATTTACATATGGGGTGTCTACGCCCGGGAAACAGTACCAGGAAACCAGCACAAACTGTCGTTGTGTTCACACCTTGAGTACCTGATAATGTGACTGTGTACATAGTTACTCCCTTACGCCCTGTCAGACACCATTTTGAAACATGAGCTTAGCAGCGAGTAACTGCCTCAGAACTAACAAACGCTTTATGCACACCGGGATTGCCCAGTGCCCACTTTCAGGTGCCCGAGTACAACGTCTTGACCTTGTACTCGGGCACTGGCACTGTCCAAAATTCTAGCGTGGGTGCTTGAAAAAGATGTGAACACATTAGTGCCCAGCGCGTACCGAACACTGCCATATCAGTACTGCAAATGACGCTGCACGTGAACGTCTGGGCTATTATCAGGGTTGGTACTCCTTTGAGCTCTTCAAATTCCAGGACTTTTTCCGTGACTTTATATTAGGAAATGCTGTCACTTAAGAAAATTTTCAAAGCTATCCAACTCAGTTCAACAGATAACACTTTAGTGTTCACCAAAATGTGTGCCATTTTAAAACGCTGTACGTTTAATTACGTGTTTTTGTCTGTGTTTTGGAGTTTGCACGAACTGATTTAGCTGATTTAGCTACAGAACGGGAACGTCACACTGACGTCAGTTGACGACGGCGCGCGCAAATCAAACAACTGGCTTGACCAATGGCAGAGCGGCAAATTGAGCACCGGAAGCCATGTTTAGTCCTTTCCGCGCGCTTTCCCGTCGTCAACTGACGTTCCCGTCCAGTTGCTATAACTCAACCTAATATAACAAACGTAACTTCAATTTCCCATGACTTTCCATGACCGACAATAAAAATCCATGACTTTCAAGGCCTGGAGTATGAAATTATTAAATTTCATGACTTCCCTCCCTTATTTTTCCTCGTATAAATGGCCCTACTGTTCATAAACATTGTTGTTGTTTTTTGTTACAAGAACCAATACATTTCTGGTAGGTAGGTAGGTAAACGTCAGCGTGAGTATCGATATACATTATGTTTATCCCCAAACCCCAAAACCTTGCATAATCATTGTTTCCGATTTCTTCTGAGTGTTATAGTCACCCAAAAAAAGAGAAAATTAAATTTTTCTTGAGGGACCACCTCGGGAAATCCCGAGTGGGAAAAATATGCCCATCTTATTAATTACAATTATAACAAGGTTCTACCGAACACCAGGTCTCTCGCAGGTCTCTTTAAAAAGCCTCCCACAGTAAGCACCTAACCCCCTCCCTGAGATGACCTGCGGCTTTCTGATACAACTGGCGTTTTGTATTAAGGTTTGTTTACGTCACCAGTCAGTGACGAAACTCCTTGGTGGTGCAACCCCTCCTAGGAAAAATCCTGGATCCGCCCCTGAATTAGTATGAGGGTATGGTATTGTACTAGACTTGCCTACAAGTCGAGCTCAAATTTTTTCAGGAGTAAGAAGCGTCAGCTGTAGGTTTTTTATGTTTTCTGTGGCAACGTACCGGAAATGAGAAGCGAAGGACTTTGAGAAAGTCTAGGTGCTATATCTGAGTAGCTTTCAAACTAGTCAATTCACAAGACCAGTGATATGCTAACACATTCTTACTTTTATTATCAGAACACACCAGTTAAAATGTTGCAAAAGTTTTGAATAACTTGTTATTTGCAGCATTTACTTACTACAATTTAGGTTAATTTGCCGGTTGACTGAAATATATGCCTGGTTTAAGTAATTATTAAAATATATTATCACCTAATTTATATACAGTCGAACCCCACTATTTCGACCTCGGTTAATTCGAAGTCCCCACTATTTCGAAGGAAGATCGAATTCCCTTGGATTTTCCCTTCCCCTTTGAGCTTCCCCGGTTATTTCGAAACCCCGCTATTTCGAACTTTTGTCCATTTCCCTTGGGACTTCGAAATGGCGGGGTTCTACTCTAATAATATTTTTATTTGAGATTATCATCACACATTGTACTATCTATCTGTCTTCTCATTGGCTAAGAGCTGACAGTTAATTCTGAAAATCAGTGCAATCTACAGATTAGCTAGTTATCTGATAAGAGATAACTGACCAATCTGTAGGCTGTTCACACTGCATGTTATATGCACAGTGTGAAGGTATGTTTGCCGTTTTTTTCTTCAAAACAAATTAAAAAGACAAATTAATATCAAATTAGGTTTTTGTGATACCTGGAAGAATAACGGTCTAAGTTACCAAATGGCTGATAACACTTTACCTTGACCTCAATTGTTCTGGACGTCACAAAAACCTCATCCCATAGTAAATACAATTATCAATTACATTCAAGCCACAGATTTAGTTACTAACACTGGAAGGATCTTCTACAGTTATTACCTCTTGCTTCACCTTCAGTTTGGTTTATAAAATGGAGTCCAAAAATAAATTCGCCACACAAAACTTTGTTAAGGGTTGCCACACACTAGAACAGAAAAATGGGCCCGATTTTTCACTGACCTCTCACGGCTCAAAAAAGTCCTGTCCTGTTGCCCAGAACAGGTGGATTTTCTTGCTGGACAAGTCCTTTAAATTCACTTTTATACCCAAAAGGCAAGAGTCCAACCAAATCATCTTGTAAACAAATCATTAACCAAAACACTGAAGTAAGCAATCACTCTGGACAAGCAAAATGTAACATGCTTTAAGAGCTTCTTGACCAAAAACTGGAATTCAAGTTTTCTACAAGCCACCTCTTTACATTATTTTCCTTGACCTCGACCACAGTTCAAGGAGAACTACTCAATCATAAGCTTTCTTGCTTCACCTAGGTCTCCTTGGCAGTTTTTTCATGTTATTTTCACATTGTGTACTGTACTGCTACTTCTTTTGTGTGGCAAAGAAATAAATAAAATAAATAAAAGTTCACAGTTCGTTTCCTTTTTTCACAGAACATTACCACTTGGTTCTCCTTTTTTTTTTGTTTGATTTTTTTTAACAATTTATTGTTATTCATTTGGAGGATAAAAATCTATCAACTACACAATGTTTTTCGAGATAAAAATGTCTAAATATAGTTTTCATGAAATCTCGCGGCAAGATAAAAATAAAATTCCACAACTTACACAAAAATTAAGACTTGACCAACTTTACCTACCTAGAAAAAAAACTTTGTTTTTCCCTAACTGTTCCCTGACCAAATAGACCGTCAGATAAGTAGGGGACTACTAAGTTCCCGGCCCATCTCTTATTGTCACTTGCTATCTGTTTTCCCCGAGCTCCACAATCTGACTGCTTGGAACATACTGGTGGAGAGTCTACTTATCCAGACCCTGATAGGGCAGGCAACCTCTTGAAAATGATAAATGTTCTAAGACGGAATCTATTAGGAAATTGAGTGATTTTAAGTTTCAGTGGGAAAAAACCTTGTTCCAGAATATTTTAAGCCATACCGTATTCTTTTTTACACTTTTCAGGGGCTATAGATGTAATATTAGTTACCTGTAATAACACCAAAGACAATTTCTTACAGGAGCCCAAGATAATAAATTTCAAATTTCACAGGAATTGAGAAAACACAGGTAAAATCATCATGCGTAAGATTTAATTTTGTGAAATTTAAGGCTTTTGAGGTTTGTTTTCTTGGGCTCCAATAAGAACCTTTTCTTCAGAGTTATTTCATACAACTTATCACATTTATAGGCCTTTGAAAAGTGTAAAAAAGAATGCAATATGATTGAAATAATATTATTCTGGTACAAGATTTTTGTCCACTGAAAATTAAAATATTTTAATCCTAACAGATTTTGTTTTAAAATAATAATTTTTTTCTTGGCCTTGCAGGCAATTAGTTTGACCTGAGAATAGCATGGGCCCCCTCCCCTAGATCTGTCACTACTGGAACTTTCAGCTGCAAGTACTGCATCAGGGTAAATGGAGTTGAAACGTTACAGTGCACTACCGGCTATGAACATTGATTCCAATGATCTGTAATTGCTGAAAGTAATGTTGAAATCATTGCATTGACAATGTAAAATCAAGTAGGGCCTATTTAAACAGTGGCACCATATTTATGTTCAGTTCCAACAGCATCTGTATGCATCGGCTGAGCCAAATGTTCATCAGATGCTGTCTTCTGATCCTCCTTATGCAGTAACTTTTCAATCATTTTGCGTGGAAAGTTAATAAAGGCTGTCCTAGCAGCAGCAGGTGTTGGAAGCGGCATTATTGACGACCAAGTGTCAGTGGCAACATCGTAACATTCCACAGAGGCTGTAGCAAGCCCATTGCCACTCCATCCACCACAAACATAGATTTTACGATTTAAAACTGCAATGCCGGCTTGGTAACGTGGAGAACTCAGAGATGCCTTGAAATTCCACTCATTTTTGTCAAGGTCCAAAGCTTCACATGTGGGCAAGAATGTGTTGCCATGGTAACCACCAATGACATAAATGTTGTTCTCAACAACAGCTGCCATGGCATCTTCACGTCTTTCAATGATTGGAGCAACAGCTATGGGTGTAAACACAATGAACAGACACATTAGAAGCTTTCATATACATTTATTTATAAAAAGATATCAAAATTAATGAGTGGAATGTTATTACACATAAAGCAAATAAAAATAAATATTATTGTGTTTAAGCCTCGACTCATAACTAATTATGGTAAATTTAGAGATAGATATGCTGTTGCTTATGTTTGGGTGCAAAGTACCTCTCAACATCACAAATGCAGCATCAGGCTTTGAGGTTTTTAGGAAGGAAATTATGGATTACAGCTACTCATAAACATCTGAAGCCTGAGAGTGACTTCCTGTCTACTTCCCTTATATCTTTTTCCTTTGTTTTCTTCCATTTCCTTTTATTACTTATGTGCTCAATCATTTACTTATACAAGAAGCTGATGTACTTTTTTGCTTGTCAGTCTCCAAGACTTATAAAGCGGTATGTTAACTAGAGTTAAGATTGACCTACATGATATCTTTTGTATGAGACTACTAGGTGCAACGAAAGTGCTGTCTGATAGTCAGGGGCTACAAATGTAATTGGGACCTGTTGAACTTAATATATTAATTTAACTTTGGACTAAATTTAATTTTGATGACTGCCTTTTGATTTTGAATGCTTGTGTTTTTGTTACTGTATTGTTGCCCACCTAGAATAGCTCCGCTAATTGTGGATAGCATAATCCAAAATTATTTTCAAATTGAAGAAACTGTTGTTGTTGTTGTTGTCATCGTTTGATTTTTGATTTTATCCAAAAATAAATATGTTTCCTTTTCCTTATAGCATGTTCATGTATGGTTGTTAAACTGCGGGGTGGTTGGAAAAAAATGCACTAGCTTTCTTTTTCCCCTTTCACTGTAAAAAGAAAACAAAAAAATGTCTGATCTCGTGTTACTCTCTATCAAAATAACCCTAGCAGCACCTACATGTAGCTGTAGTGAATGAAGGAGATATGAAGTTTACCAGTCGGGTACGAACCTGGAAAGGTTACACAAAATTAGAAAGAAGTGGTCTTACCCCCTAAAGCCCAATCATCTGTGCTTGGATCATACATCTCTACAGAACTCAAGTAACTGTGACCATCATACCCACTGATGACATAAATGTAACGACCTTCTGTCACAACACATGCACCGTCACGCTGATTGTTCATTGACGTTACAAACTTCCATTCATTTTTTGCAGGATCATAACATTCCACAGTGCTGTTCAATGAAAAAAAGAATTGTGTGAAGCCCTTGCATTAGGCTGCCATGTTGAGCACAAACTAGTGAACAATGGATTGTAACAATTATTACAATTCTTCTCAAAAGTTACCAATTTCATCTTGTTTCTCACACGAAGAGTATGTGTCTCAAGGGACAAGATTCTCATATTTGAGGGTGTTTACTGTAACAGGGGCGGATCCAGGATTTTTTTTAGGAGGGGGCACACCTGTCTCTTGCTGTACTTCAACACCAATAAACCACATAGTTTTTTGGGGGGGCAAAATACCAGTTGTATTACAAAACTGCAGGTCATCTCAGGGGGGTTATGCACCCCCTGCACCCTCCCCCTAGATCCGCCCCTGTGTAAACTGTATTTTCTAGCAGTATGCAACACAACAAAGAACAAAAGTGCAGGTATAAGCCAAACAAAGTGCAAAGGAACTGCTCTTTAGTAATGTATTGCAAAACCAGATGTCTGACAACATTAATTTTATTCCATAGCAATAAATCAATTATTTATGATTCGGTTGCCTAAAAATTAATACCGGGGTAGTTTCCCTCATTTTGTTTGACTCAATACCCATCAGATAATGCACCTAATGGTGGTCATTCTTGTTCTTGCACATTTAGACAGTCCCAGCCCACAGGTTTTACTCTTTAAATAGGGGACATCAAGCAACCCTAGTGCTCAAAACTAACTGTTGTTCACGCATCTAAAACAAGGCTCTCACTTGTAAACAAGAAATTTCAGACAAAAAATTAGCAAATTGTAGCCCTTACTTTGCTGCCTTACAATATTTTAAAAAAAATTGAAACTCAAAGGTCCTATAAAACATCAGTTAATCTTGAGAACTTCAAATTTTAAAAAAAATATCTCGAGTGGTCTAAAAATTATTTGCTTATTTGTTAAAGTAAACCAAAATGTTTACAAAACCTTCTTTCTAGCAATGAGCTAGAGCTATCTCCAAGATCTTTCACTACAAGGTAGAATTGCATTTCAAAAGCCCTTTGTTTTCCAGAGATATCGGTCAAACATCAATATTGTCCAGTTTTTGTAGCATTTCTAACCAAAAAAAACTTCATCCAAAAATTTCTCGATAACACTCTTACAGATTTTTCTTAAGCTTTACAAACAACGAGGTGACCATTGGATGAAAAAGTCCCTGTGAACAATTTTGGAAGAACAGTTCCCAGTGTGGAGAAATACGGCTGCAAGTAAAATAGGTAATGGCACCATTTCATTGCTAATTTTTCAAAATCTTTGTCAATGGCGAAATTTTATGCGAAAGTTTATGCGCAAACTTGGAAGGTATTTCCCCGGGAAAACCCTATCCAGCCACCTTAAATTTTATTTTCCTTTGTTTGAAAGTCATTATCATACATTACCATACCCCAAAACAAAAGAAAATAATATTTAAACCAAGGATAAAGTTGAACCACAACATTTACACTTGTAATTTGCCCATAGAGCAGCAACAGTTACAATCGCCCTTTTGAAAACCATGAGGGAATGGGTCGGGTTTAGTTCTCAGTCCACCTTCCTCCAAACAGTACAAAATGGAATGTACATGTGGTGAAAATCAAAGCTAAACAGATCATGAAAATGGCGGTATACACCCAGTGTGTCTTTGTTAAGCTATTTTTTTTTCTCTTAGTTGTAAGAGAGGATTCTCCCAGCTTTCCAGGCAACAGACAGAGTACCATAATTAAAGAGCTGTATCAACTTGGATTATTTAATGAACATTATCCTTAATAGACCTAGCTAGACCTGAGAATTTTGTGGCAGAGAGGGATGTGATTCACTGGCTAGAGGATGTCCAGAGAGATCATCAACCCACTATGTGTGCTTCTTTAGAGAAGTTATATATGATATATACAACTGTCTGAAACTAGTGTCTTTCTATAGCCAAGGAAACTAAAAAAAAACATAAATATTATTGTGTAGTTCGAGAAAATACCCATACTCCACCACGGAGGGAATTTCACTAAGGAACCCCCACCCCCCCCTCAACCTCCCTGGATTTTCCATATTTTAAAGGAACTGATGGCCCCTCACCCCTCCAAAATTTCCACAAAGTAAGGCAACCCCTCTGGAAAAAATTATCTTCACAAAAAAAGATTATCAAAGTAAAATAGCTAAACTTATTCATGTCTTCAAAAATTATCTATCAGATAAGTAAGTAGCAATTTTCATACTGAGTTCAAAATTAACCCCTTGGAAAGTGATCCCCCTCCCCTCTGGGATTTCCTGGGCCTCTGACCCCCTCCCCTCCCATGCACATGGAATTTCCAATTCCCTCGGTGGTGGGGGTATGGATATTTTCTCGAACCACACATTGTACTTTTTCAAAAGTGCTTGTTATTATTGTAATGAGCCATGCATTACCAAGTTTTCTCTGCATGAATTACATGTTTGAGGCCAGGTAAAAGGACTACTGTAAACTGCCACTAATAAGACCCCTCGCCCCCCTCCCAAACATACTTTGGACAGCACTACTACAGCTTGTTTCGAACACTCTTTCTTTTCCAATATCATTATAAACCCCTCTAAAACCCTTTACAAAGATGTATAAGCCCAAGGCTTGTAAGCAGTAGTCTGTAGTACTTAGCAGAAATAAGAATTTCTTTCACCACTATTCCCAGGACACCTAACTACATGTAAAAGGGGCTTTTATAAGCAGCCACTGACCCCATTATTTTGATAAGAGAGTACACCTTGAACTTTAAAGCATAAAGACCTCACCGTATGGGTGACCTGCCATCATAACCTCCTACAGCATAGAGCAGACCATCAAGAGCAACCAGTCCGATATTGCTGCGTGGAACACTCATTGGTTTCATTACATTCCACTGGTTATAGTCTGGATCATAACGTTCACAAGTGTTCATACGCTTCCACTCTTTGCTTCCACCAACCACGTAGACATATTTCCCGAGAGTTTCAATGCCAGGACAGTGACGCGTGGTAAGGTTAGAGATGTTGTGCCAGTGTTCTGTTTCCAGATCAAATATTGCACAGAATGGTCCAGCGATAGTCAGCAAAACACTTACAGTTCTAAGGCAACGTCTGGGGATTTGCCACTTGAAAGATTTACTATTCCCTACTGATTCTTCATAGTCCATCATGGAGTAGATATGTCTCCTCGCTTTAGAAATAATTTCATGGGCTTCTGGGTGATCTGTTACCAAATCATCGGTGGCAATGATTTCTTCAAAGTATTCAGGGTTGATCTGAGGAAGTCGTATCATTTGCAGTAGTGAAGGAAAATGCTTGATGCGTTCTTCGCGGTTGTGTTCTACCCATTTGAGAAGGAGTTCATAGAGGTCTTCCTCACGAGGAATCACAATTTCATCATCCATCAAAAGATCTGCAAGATGAGACGGAGGCAGCACTAAAAATTCCTCACAGCTTGCAGCTTCCATAAAATTTTCCTCAATAAATGTATTTGCTCGGTTCCGCAAGTCATTACTGTTGAACTTATCTGAAAGAGCTCGGATTCCCCAACAATTTGACAAAGTCAGTCGTTCTTGAATAAACTTGCAGCAAGCTTGAGTCACATTTTCAAGCAGTAACAAACATGAACCACAGAAAACATCTTCAACGTTCTCTTCCGTGATCAAAATTTCACCTTTGTAGATAAAATCCAAAAGAATCTCCATCGCGGTCGCTGTTATTTCTTTAACCTCAACTCTATCACTTGTAGTAGCCATGTGCCCGCTGAACATTGCCATAAAGTAGTCCGAGTTCGCAGCAAGAACATTTCGATGAGCAGGAAAGTCTTTGCCCTCTACCACAAGAACTACGTCTGTTAAAACGGAATGCATTCGCATTCGAGCGATTCTTTTAAGGATGTAAGAGTTGTGAAACTCGTCTGTAAAAAGCAGCGAATCCTCTTGCTTAAACACGTCATCCAGAGCCATGATGGATACAAAACAAAGAGGACCTTCGCCGCGTCCACGAAATGAAATAGACCGAAATTTACATTAAATTTAACGCTTATTTTGCTTCATTTGCATCTATAATAGATAAAACAGTCAACGGAACACGTCTACAAATAAAATACTTATCTTTTTGAAATCCCTGCATAAAAAAGGTGCCAGACATGTCCCCAGCCAAGGCGTTCTGGAACACGTGACACAACGTGTTTGCGTTATCTTACATGACGTGCGGCACTGCAGGACTGCGGGACTTCGACAGACTTCGGAGAAGGGGTGCAAGGCGGGGTCCCGTCACGAGTTCACGAATAACAATTTTGCGTTTCACGATTCACAAAACCAATATTTACGTTTTCACGATTCTTAATATTAGAGGTCGTATAAAAGTCAAAAACGTTACGTTAGTCCCATTTTGTACAACAGATTGCTTCGATTAAGTTAACTACAGTTTTACAAACCTATGAAAAAAACTTTACTCGCATGATCGCACAGTTCGCCTACTACGCCTCATAAATGTAAGGGAATCATCGTCATCATCTTCTTCCACAGGATGTTCATTTTCACTGTCCATGTACTGTCATACTTGTCCTCGACTTCCTCCTGGGAGTAGGCATGAATAGATTGTGCTAGTAAATCCAGCAAAAGTTGCTTTCTAAAAAATTTCAAAGTTACCTTCCAAATTTAGAAAAGTTGCTTACTTTTACATCATTTGTTGTGATCAATATAATCTTTAAGCTCAACGTAACTAATAATAGAAAGTATCTTCAAATGACGTTTCTAATGAGTAAACGTCACAATGTTTGCTATAGACATCATAGTGCTTACTATACACTTTAGACAGTGATCAAGTTTATCTTTATGTTTAGCCTTTATCTTATCTTATCATGATAAGATACAACAATGCAAAGAGGTTGTAAACTTTAAAGTTTACAGCCTCTTTGCATTGTTGTATTAGTCTTATCATAACTGAAGCCTCAAGGTAGTCCTCTAGGGCATTGTCTTGTTGATCGTTAAACTTCTAGAAATTGAAACTCTTACAGGACTACTAAGAGTTGCCCCAGCGGCTATGGTAGCCTCAATAGGGTCAATATCTGTATTATTTTCATTTTCCTCGTCAGACATTTTAGCTTCTAATTGTGATGCCTTGCACTGCAGCAAATACCAAGATGGCGGGCGGGAAGCTCTATTGTTGGAGCGAATAACCGCTGGATGTAAGGGCCCGTTAGATAGATAGCTGCTGTCCAGTTCGTTGTCGCACCTGTTACTTTATAAATTATTTGTAAGAACGTACGACATCCTTCGCTTTGACCAGTTTTAATAGAAACCTTTTAATAAAGACCTTTTTGATGGTTTGGTCAGTTTTTAACTATTAGTTGACTCAAAAGTTGGCAAGGAAGGCAAAAGTTGCTCTAGGTTGCTCGCAGTACAAAAAGTTGCTGAAAACGCTAAAAGTTGCTCAAAAGTTGCCGAGCACAATCTATTTATGCCTAGGCACCACGCTTATGGCTCGGCGGCTCGGCCCGTCAGGCCTCAGATCAAAGATGGCGTTGTCCTCGAGTACATTCACTTCCACCACTTCTAGTGCCGTACCGAGAGCTTTAAACAAGTATGTGGGCTATAACTTTCTGACCTGGATTCAGAACCCAGAAACGGTTGATTTTGGTATCATTTGTTAACCATTTGGCTTTTCGGGGTGCGTACATGCGTATTTGCGATGCTAAAGACTGTAAGACTGGAAGGTGGACTATATGAATGTTCATTAAAGTCAGAATTGATAGAGTTAAAGGTCAAATGAACCAAAATTTCGACCTCTTTTATTTTAGTTCAATTCTAGTGAAATGTGCTTAATATGAACCAAATAAACATACTATGAAGTTTCAGCTCAATTGAAGCAAGCATCTCCGAGATATTTGCAATTAAAAATTGCTATTTTTTGGCCCTTTTATCTTCGTAGAGTAGTCGGAAAACAGTTTGTGACGTCAATGTTGGTCAGGTTAAAAAAAGCGGGAAATTCCAAACAGAGTTTATCGAGTCGACTTGGCGCAGAAGTGGTTTGTGCGGCCATAAAGCTGGAAAGAACAGGCAATTTGTCTTCAAAGGTTGCAAACTGTGGTTAGAACCTTCTTATTATTTAATTTTCTCGAAGAATACATCATAGTGAAACGGACTTTAACGATATTTACTAATTTCTTTGAGTTGTACTGGAAATGTGCGTGCGTAAGTCCGATTTTTTTCAAGATGCATTCACAAAATGTGTTCATATAAGGAAGTTCCTGGATAAGGTCCGGAGCTCCACCGTGGACACAAAAACAAAATATCTTTGTATAATAATCTGCCGAAAGAAAGTCCAGTTTGCCCACAATGTGTTTGAAGTCACTGAACTTTGTCGCCCTCGAGCTGATATTTTAAAACCCACGCTCGATCGGACACTTCGATTCTAGCTTCGCAGATCACTAAAATATAAACAAAATCCTCAATGTAGAAGTTTTGGCGTTGATATGTGGGCAGAAAAAGAGTTAATCTTTATCTAGTGCATCTTCCCCAAGATCGTTTTCAAAGCAACCATAGTTTTTTAAACTTGATCGTTTCGAGCAGATTAATTTTGCTTTGTCTTGTCAAGTTGAACGTGCATAACTCCTGTCAAAAACCTACGCGTAATTAAGATTTCCTTCAAACAAAGTTAAAGTTACATTATTGCAAAAACTTCTTTCCAATTATGTATAAGATTTAATTACCGATTGAGGTCACTTTAAGGACCATAGACGCCGCTTTAAGCTGGCAAAGTGATGCGACAAGCAAAGAACAATTCCATCATGCATAAAATTCAGCTTAAGTGATCTAAAAAAAACTTCAATAAGGTTGCAAAACAACAAATTTTCATTTAAAAAACATAAGGCTTAAGGCTCTTATACCTGCTGACAAAGAAGAAGTGCATTTTCTGTACGGAAACAACCTACCTAAAGATCTTAAAAGCAAAACATCAGTTGCAAGCTTCGCAGCCAAGCCATGATTCCAACTACTTAGCTGGATTACCTACTTTTAATAACTGGTCCATGCGAGGGTCTTCATTCAAGTAAATTAAACTCAGCAAACTGAATCATTAGAAAATACAGAAAACTGCTGATTTGTTTTGCTCGCTTCAGTCAATCCAGCTCCAGCAATTGTTTACGGGCAAAGAGTCAATTGTTTTGGAGTCACTGCCGGCATGCAGTTGTCGTTCTCCGCTACTTCACAACGAGTGAAAGGAAAATTTGCGTACAGATAACCTGAGATCAGGCTCTATTTTCGATTCGCTTTGAAAATTACATTCCGGTGGGCAAGACGAAACGAAACGATTTCAGCGGTAGCCGTTAGAGAGAATGTATGAGAACCGCTCAAATTGGGCCTGATCTCAGGTTAGCGTACTGGGGCCGGTTGCTCGCAGCCTGGTTAGCGCTAACCGTTGGTTATTTAACGCTGGTTAGCACTAACCATGCTTCGAGCAACCCGGGCCAGAAAGATAACAAAACTATGTAATTAAAACTGAAAAAACTAAAGGAAGAAACTCTGACTATTATTACTTGAGCAACAGAAAAATGATCGAAGTAGTTTTTTTCCTCTCGAGTAAGCTTGCTGGCCTTCTAAAGTACCGAGGAAGTTTTTAGCGCTCAAGTGTGTTCACTCGCAAGCGTTAACATTACGGTTCTTTGACATAAGACAAGGATAAAGCTGGTTCTGCAACGGCAAATAAATCTGGGCATGTAAAAAAACTAAACGTAACTACTAATAACAGAATACAAGTGGGTTTTAATTCAGTCCGGCGAAAGAAGGCGAAGCACTGGACACAAAATCAATTCACAAATCGAATACACAATAGTTGTTTGTTTACAGACCCCTGCACTCTATCAAAAGCTGCTTCCCTAGACCTCAGTTCTTGTTCAAGTTTAGTTGCTGATGTTTTCTAATGCTTTTATTTTGTTCTTCTGCTCTTGGAGCTTCATCTTTTCGTCAGGATGTCGCGTTATTTCGCCACAGAAAAATACTGACTCGCACTTTTCCATCAGACAACTGCGAACAGTATGATTTCGGTAATGGCAATTACTGCATCGTTGGCCGGTAAGGTTATTTTCGGAAGCAGCCTCTTTTATTCTTCGGTAACAATCTTCTAGCACTTTTCGTTTTTCAGCTGCTTCGGCAAGTTTTTCCTGCACAGCGCGTCGTTTTTCTTCGATGAATCTTTCTCCAGGAGACAGTAATTTTCGTCTTATCGTTGGGCGCAAGACGCTGGCTTCACGTTGTGACCACTGTGCTTCTTGTCCAACACTTGCCTCGCCAGCACTAAGGACAGTTTTTTTCCTCGCTGGAGATTTAGAAGCTGGACTTTTCTCTGAGAATGAGGGGAACTTAGTCTGCGGTCTTTCACGTACGGGCGTTCTCAGACGGCTAACCATATTTAAGATAAGTCTTTTATGTCCTTCAGGGATTCCCGCTAGATCGTTTTCTGTTAGATACTTTGCGCTCGCTGTTGACGTAAAACCATTGCTTCGTAATTCACCAGCATATATTAATAAATCTTCATCCACTTCTCTGAGAAAGTCCTCGATACTTTTTCGGCTCTCCATATCAGTGAAAAGATTTTCGCTGATTTTTCTCTGATTTCTTGACCGCGCTGACAGTGAACGGTCAAGAGAACAGAGTGAACCACGAGAGACACGAGAACACCGACTCTACCGAGGGAACTTCACATTTGGGCGGGAAAACTTCAAAGTTTGACACCTGAAACTCAGACGTTTGACGTCTCGTGAAAACATGTTTTGAGCGCGTGCGTTAACGGGTAGTAGTCAGGGACCCGTTTCTCGAAAGTCCCGATAATTAACGGGCCCGGTAAGTTGTCTCCGTTGACATTAAAGATCGAGGTTTTAATAGTTTTGCATCTAACATGATAAAACTATCAGTTAATGAAACAAAATGGAGTAGTTTGCTAGCCAGGAGCAGCGCTTTTATTCTTCATATTTCGATTTGAATATTTGATTTCGGGCCCGAAAAGTTACCGGGACTTTCGAGAAACGGGCCCCAGGTCTCTTAAGGTCAGGATCGTTACAGAGCTGACAAAAGCACCAAACTTTGCACAGCGATAGCTTATTGCAGTACCATGAACATTAGAGGGGGTGCCCAATGCAAATATGCCACTGAAGCGTGCTAAACAGGA